GCGAAAATCTCGACCTTGTCCTCTGTCCTGAAGACTATGTCTCCAGGACTGTGGATGTGGAGAGCGTTTCTTACTTCATGAACAAGATTCGTCGCTCTGCGAATGTCATCAGGATGAAGATCACCCAAAATTATTTATAGAATTTTGATGAAAACTTGTAAACATAGGGTTGTCCAAGGGACGCAGGAAAGTAAACGACAACTTGACATAGACGCCATCTTTGTTTTCTGTCACCGACATGTCTTTTTGTTAGTTGAATGTTTACCATTGATCGCTATGGAGCCGTATTCGACTGAAGACCGCATTAAAGTTATTCAAGAGCACTACAAAAATGGTGCAAAAATAAAAAACACGTTTCGCGCGCTTCGTGAACATTTCGGTCGCAACAACCGCCCAAACGAAACAACCATCGGTCGTCTGGTGCGTAAATTCGAGGCAACAGGTTCTGTGGCAAATCTGCCAGGCTCTGGCCTGCCAAAAAGCGTTCGCACACCGGAAAATATAGCTGTTGTGAAGGAGAGTGTGAGAGACGATCCGAAACAATCAACAACGCGTCGATCCCAAGGATTGGGCATTTCGAGAACCAGTTTGCTCCGCATCCTCCACAAGGATTTGAATGTACACGCCTACAAGATCTAATTGACGCAAGAGCTGCGTCGGGCCGACCATTTTTCGCGCCGAACGTTCTCAGATTGGCTCCTTGAACACCGCCAAATTGATGCCAATTTTTCATCAAAAATCATGTTCATCGACGAAGCGCATTTCACTTTGAATGGGACGGTAAACAAGCAAAACTGCCGCATCTGGGCGAACGAAAATCCCCGTGAGTATCAAGAGTAGCCGATGCATCCTCAAAAAGTGACTGTGTGGTGTGCATTGTGGTAAAAAGGCATCATCGGACCTTACTTTTTCGAAAATGCGGCCGGGGACGCCGTTACCGTCAATTCTGAGCGATATTGCGTGATGATAGAGGACTATTTTTTGCCGCAACTTGAAGGAATGGATATGGACGATGTTTATTTCCAACAAGACGGTGCAACATGCCACACAACCAACGTCAATATCAATCTATTGCAGTCCTTCTTCGGTGATCGCGTGATTTCGCGCAGAGGAAATGTACCATGGCCACCAAGATCGTGCGATTTGACTCCCTTGGACTTGTTTTTATGGGGATATTTGAAAAGCAAAGTCTACGTCAACAAACCAGTCACCCTCCAAGAACTCAAAAACAACATCACTGCCGAGATAAATGCCATAGAACCGACCATGTTGCAAAATGTCATTGAAAATTTCGACCATCGCGTGGACGTCTGTAAATCCAGTCGTGGTGAACATTTGAGCGATATTATTTTTCATACATAAATGGTATAAATGAACCCAAAAGTACCCAACTTGATTTAAATATCAATCTTTCTTGTTTTAATATGCGTTTACTTTCCTGCGTCCGATTTGAACAACCCCATATTTCGTATCATGGAAGTATGCGCTGACAAAATGTTGAAGGCATTCTGAGCCGTACTGTTTTTGTCATCATATCAGGTTCCATTTGTTTTCATTGTTGTTTCATTGCATTATCATGCCTAGAGTTTTCAGACGCGCTTATGTCACTCAACTTTTGAGTTTAAGAGTGGTCGGATAATCGGGTCACTTTCTTTTAGATAAATCGCTAATCGGGTGAATTGAAACGAAGCTACTGTAATAAGATGTTGTCGAGTGTGGTTCCAAGAAGGCGAAATCGACGAGTTGGAGGTACTGGACAGGGTAACAGGATCGTTATTTGAGGCAAATAGCACTTAGAGATCGATTTTCCACAACAAAGTCAGTTGCGAACCAGGGTTTGATGCTGCCGGAATGGCAATAATAATGAGGACAGTTTATCGCCGAATAAGGTCTTTTGGACTGTCTTCATACCGTCCCCATCTTGCACTACCTCCGACCCCGAAGCATTGTCGGCAACGATTGGTATGGAGTAGCGAGAGACTTGAATGGAATAGAGAATGGAACTCAGTCGTGTTCAGCGATTCTGTTTGGGCACACATGGTGCCCAAACAAGAGTAACGAGGAGACGTGGTGAAAAACGGAAAGTCCAATATTCCATCGAACGTCATATTCATCGCCCTGTGGGTGTTGCAAGATCCACTTTTTCAGCAGGACAATGCACGACCTCATGCGACTTGGCATGAGTTAAAAAGTCGTAACTTCCTTATTATTACAGATAGATGGATGCTTCTCGAATCTTGTATGATATCTCTCGTGACCATCTACCTGTTGTCTTGGACGTGGGCGATGAGCAAACTTCTGAGGAGGAAGCTCGTCCAAGGAAACGCATTGATTGGGAGCTATAAAGTTGCTCCTTAGAGAGCTTCCCAATATCCCGATTATAGATGATGAGTCTGGAATAGATGCCGCTCAAGCGGAGTGGACAAGTTTCATTCAAGCAACTCTACAGCGTGCAGCTGTACTTCCTGTACAACGACACGGCAGACCTTTTTTGCCTGCGGACATTCGTCAGAAAATCTCTGACAAAATAGCCGCTATTAAGCAGGCAAAAAGGTCTTGTCATCGTGATGACATTCGTAGGGCTACAAATCTTGTACATGAAGTGAGAAACGCACTGCACGAACTCCGCAACGAGCAATGGAGCGACTTTCCGGCGGGAATGCTTGATTCAAGTATTCCTCTCTGGAGGGTCGCAAAGTCACTCAGAAACGGAAAGCGAGAAAAACTCCCGCACATCCACGGTCCTGAAGGCATAGTCTTCAGAACGGATGATAAGGTCGAGGTGTTCGCTGATGCCATGGAAAGACAGTTCTCTCCCAACTATGATCTTCATAATGAGCTCGACGAGGAACAGGACACCGTACGATCCGTCAGGAGATATTTTAGGGCCAACGGCGTTAACGGAGGCACTTAATCCTCTTCAGATGACTCTTCTTCCGAAGATAGCACATTAGCGGAACCCTCCGAAGTTCCACATTGCACACCAGCGGAGCTCCTAAGTCATATTAAAGACCTCAAGGTACGTAAGGCACCTGGGGAGGATCAAACCACCAACAAGGCGTTGAAGCTGCTCTCGCCGAAAGCCCTGACATATTCGGTGACAATAATCACTGCAACGCTCAGAATCCAGTACTTTCCTGCTGGGTGGAAGACCGCTGAGGTCATCATGATTCCAAAGAAGGTGGGTTCGATATTTCCTCAGGATTACCGTCCCATAAGTCTGCTGTCAGCTCCTTCTAAGCTCGCCGAAAAGGAGATTTATCGTCACCTTGAGAATTTGTCGTCAAATCACCATGTGATTCCTGACGTTCAATTCGGTTTTCGGTCCGAGCATAGCACCGAGCTACAGGCAGTCAGGCTGGTGGAACATGTAACCAGAGGGTTCACCCTCAGCATGAGTACTGGCATCTTGCTTTTGGATGTCTCAAAAGCCTTTGGCAAGGTGTGGCACGCGGGTCTCTTTTATAAACTAATCAAAAAGGGGTTTCAATTTGGCTTTAAAAATTACTGAAATCCTTTCTTGAAGAAAGGAAGTTTCAGATCAAAATTAACAATGTTTTGTCAACAACACGGCCAGTACGGGCCGGTGTTCCTCAGGGTTCGGTCCTATGACCAATCCTTTATTCGCTTTTTAAACATGATGTCCCTTGCCCCAGCAACTATGAAGTCTACCTCTATGCTGACGACACTGCACTTGTCGCCCAGTCGTGTAATGGTGATCTGGTTCACGAGGGGTTGCAGAGTACGGTGGAAGAAGTACTAGAGTGGTAGGAACGGTGGCTGATTAAAATTAATCATTCGAAAACGCAGGCTATTTATTGTACCAAAAAACGTCGCGCCCCCCAGCAGAGGTCTCTGTAGACGGCAATCGTGTACCATGGACAAATTCTGCCAAGTACCTCGGTGTCACCCTTGATAAAGGCATGACCTGGCATAAACATAAAGCAGCCTTGAAAACAAAATTCCAAATTGTGTTTCGGCAACTACGAGTACAGCCTTTGTTACGTAGATCCTCCAAATTGAGTTTGATAAACAAAGTTCGCCAATATAAAATGATTATTAGACCAGCCATTACTTAGCATGTGCGGCTTGGTGTTTTCTTGCCAAGACACATATGCAAAGTCTTCAAGTACTGCAAAGTAGAACTTTGCGAACACTTTGCAACGCTCCACGATATGTCTCAAACGAGACACTACACAGAGAACTTAACATTCCTCGGCTCGCACTGTAATAAAAAATTAGCGCGAACTTTTAGTACAGTTAAAATTACACTCTAACAAAATTGAATCAAAAATTTGTTTATTTCACCTCAAAATTAATCCGTGTACCAAGTCTCTCTTAAACTAAACACTTCTATTTTTCTTTGCTCTTCTCCATTTTTCTTCTCTTTCTCTCTGCTCTTTTTCCTTAACATTGTCTGGTTTCTGGGCTACCAACCAGTACTGACAGAATCGACTAACGTACATCAGACAGTGACTAATGGGCAAAGGTCCTACGGACCGCCCAGACAAACAAAGGACGAATAGTAGATGGATGCTGCGAGTAGCAAATAAAAATTCACAATATCATCATAAGCTTAACATATTGGACTCATCTTTGACAAAAATTGACTTAACCTAGTCGGTCTCTGGGGTACAGATATGTGAAAAACAAATGATGGAGCGGAATTAGTATATTATTTCATGTATAGGCATAATAAGAAAGTTAAATGATTACATCAAAGTTCAAAATGTAAAAAAGATAATGCTACAGGGTTAGTTTCGATTTCACATTGATCCACTCCAGGGTGCCTCCAGTTTATGAAAAAGCACCCTCAATACGATGAACTATCATATATGACCTTCTGTTTTTTACCACTGTGCTTGATTTATTCTTTGTCACTTTTATTTAATTGTAATTGTAAATGGGGGTAACTGTTGGACAATAAAGTTATTATTACTAATACGAAAAAAAAATCTGTGAAAATATTTTTGTGATGTCTTAACATTTTAGAGAAATGTAGTGAATATTGGCATTCTCGGGAGAAATGATTAACATGTTTTTTTTTTGTTTCAGATAATAATGAACTTACCATCATCTCTAAGAAGAAACCTGTCAATCACAGTCATGCGCTCCTACTGTCACAATAAACTCATTTTGATAAAAATGATTTTGCGGCTATGACTCCTCAAGTCACAACATATTAAACACGTCAATAATATTTAATTTACTAATTTATTCTAGTCTAAAATTACTACTTTTGTAGTTGCATTAACTAGTTGTAAGTTACCTTGTGGTGCCAAAATCGAAAAATCCTAGTCTATTTTGACCTAACAAAATGGCAGTAATAGCTTTGCCGGCCATATTAGCAGCTGTTAAGGGTGGAGTTGGACTGATTGGTGCAGGGAAAATCGCCATCTTGCCATTCCTCATAGCCGCGATGACGTATTTCCATTACGACCAATTTGATCCTGAGAACAAACCAGTTGATCGAGACGAGGTAAGCCATTATGAATATTTTCACAGAAGAACTTTTGAGGTATACATAATAATATGTCAGGAAAGTAGATGCTGGACAGGCAAACAGCGAGGAAGTTTTATTATTTGATTTATACAGGGTGACCTGTAATGTCACGTATTCCTGTTAATGGGTGATAGATTAGGTCAAAAGCAACCGATTTTGTCCTATCATGTCTTATGCAAAAGTTAACCATTTTTGAGTTATTTGAATTTTAAGTTTTTTTTTATTCCGATTTCAGACGGTTAAAATTGAAATACAAAAAAACTGCATGCTTGATTTTTGAGTTTTTTGTTATCGTCGCATAGCAGACATTCCAATAGTTCATAATAAGTAATAAAATGTTGCAAAGCTACAAACGTTTTAAAATTACGCTTGGTAAATGTATCATTTTCGTTTTTTTTACCAACTTATTCGATCAAAAACGCAATTTTCTGTAAAAAATCTCCTAGTAATGAAATGTGCAAATTATGTAAATAATATCTCTATCTAACAAGCATTCATTTGAGGTATTAAGCGTTCAATTATCTGAGGTACATACAGAGAAACAACAATGCCACCCACAGAGGCTGGATTTTTAAGTAATTAAAGCATCCCACAAACCGGCGCGAAATATTCGCTTTGGCTGCGAAAATTTCGCGGCGATGAATTCGCGATCAGATTAAAACGCGGCGGTTTACGGACAGGCTCAGACTTGTGCGAAGCGAATGCGATTGTTCCAGCGTTTTTATCGCGGCGTATTTCAGTTTGCCTTTGACCGCGTTTTTGACGCCGTTCTTCAAAAATTCGCAATGGCAAAAACGGAATTATTGATAGAAATAGTGAAAAAGTATCCTTGTATGTATGATTTGTCGAACGATGAATACAGGAATGTGAGAAAGAAAGACAAGATTTGGATGGAAATAGGAAAAGAATTAAATACAAATGGTATGTACCTAATATTTTTTAATAACTTGTTAAATGATTTACAGTCTACACAAATGTGAAAACGAACATTCTATATATTGGGCATAGGCATATCAGAATTAAAATAATTTATGAATTTGTCACGAGTAGAAAATGCTAGCCTTGCTGCCCGCCAAGGATCATTTGCTATATCAGTAAAAGCTCCAAGCACGGGTTCTGGGGGATCTAAGAATTGAAAATATTTGTCATCGCCACTTTTACTTCGTAAAAAATTGTGTAAAACAAATGCCGTACGTACAATTAGAATAGTAGTATCTACTTTAGTTTCTAATGGCCTGTAAAATATTCGCCATTTTTGAGACAAAATACCAAACGCATTTTCCACGACCCTTCTAGCTCGACAAAGTCTTACATTGTATTTCTCTTTTCTGACGTCTGTTAAAGTCTGCTTATAAGGAAATGGTCTCATAAGGTATGGTTTTAAAGCAAATGCTTCATCACCAATTAAGACGTACGAGCAGATTTCATTTTACCCAGGGAGAAATCTAGGTACAGTCATTAAATTTTGTTCAAATCGTTTTCCCATGTTTGAGGTTTCGAAAATATCCCCATCACTATTTTTTCCGAAACCACCAATATCAACACATATAAATTTATAGTCCGGGCCAACAATGGCCATAAGTACTATTGAATATTTATGTAAATAGCACCAGTAATTGGAGCCACTGTTGTTAGGTCTCTTGATTGTTACATGTTTACCGTCCACGCTTCCAATGCAATTGGGAAATCCCCATCTATTTTCAAATTCTTCAGCACATTTTTTCCATATATTCTCTGTTGGTTCTGGTAAATATATATGCTCCATATGTCTGCATATCGCTTCACAGACTTCGGTTACGATTGCACTCACTGTTGTAAAGCCAACTCGAAAGCTATGCCCAATGGTATAGAAGGTGTCACCAGTGGCAAGGAATCTATAAAAAAATCGTTTTTAGGTGATGAAGTAAAAAAAAAGTGGAAGAATATCAGAGACACATTTGCAAAATATATAAAATCTACCAAACCAAAGACCGGCCAAGCAGTGGGCAACATAAACATGGAATTTTTCCGTCCTTTTTTGGCATTTGCCAAAAAGTCGTCTAATGTGAAAGATATTGACGTCATACATTATGAGACTGCCGAATTTAACTCAAATATATATCAGGAAAGGGCTGGAAATGTAGAAACCGAAAATTTTTAAGACCGCGGCCATGGAGAAGATGAAAATGCTGATGTAGATGCAGAAGATGCACATAACGCCTCGGCAACACAGACAGCACCACCTTCTTCATTGAACACTCCAGGGCACACCTTTCCGCAGACTGCAACTACACCAAAATATAAAACGAGCAGAAAACGCTATGAACCACCATCTTCGTCTGTACAACAGCTCCTTAATTATTTTGAAGGTAAAAAACCTAAAAAGGAGAACGAGGCCATTGATTCACTTTTCTTGGCACATGCACAGACTGTGAAAACACTTCCCTTAAAGCGTCAAGCCCGAATAAAACTAAAAATAGCCGAATTAATAGCGCACGAAGAATTTGAACATATTGAAGAAATGTCTTCAGCGTCTACCCAGAATTCTGCAAGTATGTATGATAGTAGTATGTCGTCCTTCCCAAGCGGCACTGGATTGACTCCAATAATATACCCAACAGAGGAGGCAAATTCTGCCTCGAATTATTTAGCAACATTTAATCCTAGTGGCAACATGTAGTCCAATTATTACAATAAAATATTTATTTCACGATCCCTGAAGTTTTCGTATTCGATAAGCCTACTAATTTTAATACATATAATTTTTTTACCTGAGTGTAATAGCAAGTCGTTCTTCTGGCGAAATAGCTTCACGATAATTTGTGTCAGATTTTCGTATTTCATCTTTCACCAAGTTCAATATTTCATCGAAACACTCTGGAGTCATTCTAAAATATACGTAAAAGCGCTGTTCATCCAGCCGAAGTTGTGGCATCAAGGTATGGTATTCCCCAAATTTATTTCGTTCCAAGTTAATATCATGTACCCACTTCCTTCGTTTCCTAAACAAAATTGAAAATATTTGTTTTATGTACTTCGTTAAACTTAATGCATACCCAACTATCAAATGGCGTTAAATAAACATAACTTTCCGTGCATTTTGTTCCTCTTCTAAAGCAAGAAATAGAAGTGCCTCCTCTTCTTCTGAAGACGAGCTCATTGCAAAAGGCAAAAATAAAATGTACGCAACCTGTCGAAACCTTCACGTTCGCGAAGCGAATAAGACGCTTTGGTATGAATAAACAGGCGAAACAGATTGCGAATTTCGCTCTGAATTTCGTTGCGAATACTTCGCCGCGATTATTTCGCGCCGGTTTGTGGGATGCTTTATATTACCTGTTTGAACAAGTCGTTCCTGTCCTCAAAGGACTCGCATGCCATGATTGTTTTATGGCATCGGCTCGACGAGGAAGCTTGCGAGAAGAGCTGACTTAGTGGAGGAGTGAGAATTAGGTTTAGTTGGTATCAACTACTGCGTACGCGCACACGTTTTACGCACGATTATTATTTTCGAATTTCCCAGTTCATTTCGAGTGGTTTCTTTATCATCATGGCAGACGCAGAAGATCCGCCAGGACCTCGCCATAGCGAGCACGGGCAAACTTTTACAAATGAAGAATACGCAGACATAATGTTCTGTTATGGACTTTGTAACGGCGATTCTGCAGCTGCCCGCCGTGAATATCGGCAACGTTTTCCGAATCGCCGAACACCTCATGTTACTGTGTTTGACTCTGTGTATCGGCGCATCCGCCAAACCGGACGTGTTCAAAGGCAACATAGTGATGCTGGTCGACCCCGAGTCTATCCTCCTGAAGATGAAGAGGAAATCCTTCGTGTGTTTCAGGAAGACCCTACTACGTCTACGCGCATTGTGGCTGCCCAGTTGGGTATATCACAATACAAAGTATGGTTTACTGTGCATACTGCAAGATTATACCCTTATCACTACACGCCTGTGCATGTGATTGAAGAGGGCGATCCTGCAAGACGATTAGATTTCTGCAGGTACATGTAACATGCAGATACAGAAGATCCAGACTATTGTAAGAAAATTCTGTGGACCGATGAATCGAAGTTTGATCAGTACGGGATCACTAACTACCATAATGCTCATTGATTGATATTTAATTGGACCTCATTTTCTGCCCGCCAGTTTAAATGGAGAAGTGTATGAAGAGTTCTTGAAAAATCACTTGTTTCCATTAATAGAAGACGTCCCATTGGCGACGAGACAAAATATGCGGTTCCAGCACGACGGCTGTCCCGCACACTACAGTAGATTAGTACGGGCGTATTTAGACTCTAAATTTCCAAATCAATGGATTGGCAGAGGCGGGCCCATTGCCTGGCCAGCAAGAAGCCCAGATCTCACACCGATGGATTACTATGTGAGGGGACATATGAAAAGCCTGGTGTACGATGCTTCGCCCGTACCAACGCGCGATGAATTAATTACAAGGATAATCAGTGCAGCTGACCAAATAAAAAGCCGCTTAACAATAAGGGTTAGCAAAAGTGAATTACGTAAGAAAATGCGGGCGTGTATTCGTAATAAGGGATTACAATTTGAGCAGAATCTGTAAAATACTAAAGGAAATGTAATTAACCCTGTAATCCTTAGTGGGGTTTCGCATCACCCCAAAGAAAATTCAAATGTTCACTAATTTTTTGTGCATAAATTGGCAACATCGGAGATCCCGCTATGTTCATTTGAGGTTAAAGTGTGTGTGTTGTTGGTCGCACATTTTTGTTCAGTGCAATAGTTTATATGATATTTTGTGTTTGGGGTGACGAGTAAACCCAGGTAAGCTTAAGCTGGTATTTTTATTTTATTCCACACACTAGATTACGTAATTTATTTAGATGGCTGTCCGACCAGATGATCCCAACTTTGAAGAAACTCTGTTACGATGGAATGAAGAACTCGACAATGAACCTGATTCAGATAATGACGGCACTGACTATGACGACCATGTTTCAATTCAGTCCGACAGGGAGAGCACCTACTCAACGGATGATAGTGAAGTAGAGAGTGAGACAGAACAACAACTTCCTGGCAAAGAAATAAAAGGAAAAATGGACATATTTGGAGCACTGAGCTTCCATGTCGTACTCGAACACCTAAGCGAAACATTGTTTCATGTATTCCAGGACCAAAAGGTGCGGCCAAAAATATTTCAACGGAATTAGAGGCATGGAAGTTATTTTTTAGCGCGAATGTTATAGATATTATAGTGGTGCATACAAATATGGAAATAGAACGACAAAGAGGGAAATATGTTGCTAATTGTGGCTTTGTTAACGAGACAGACGTTGAAGAGATCTTGGCTTTGATAGGACTGGTTTATATGACAGGTTGTAGAAAAGACAATCATCTAACTACAGCAGAAATGTGGTCAAAGCATGGACCAGAAGTGTATCGATGCGTAATGAGTGAAACAAGGTTTAGATTTTTGATATCTTGCCTCAGATTTGACGACAAAACTATGAGAGACAGAGAAGATAAATTTTCTCCAGTACGTAATATATGGGAAATGTTTATATCTAACTGTACAAAATACTATACTCCTCACAGTTATTGTACCATCGACGAACAGTTATTGGGATTTCGAGGCAATTGCCCTTTTAGAGTATATATTTCATCAAAACCTGACAAATATGGAATCAAAGTTGTAACGATGTGTGATTCACGCACATATTATATGGTTACTGCTATTCCATATATCGGCAAAGAAAATAGGCCAGATAAAGAACCTCTCCCAGCTTATTACGTAAGAAAACTGACAGAACCCATTCACGGAACCGGACGCAATTTGACGATGGACAATTGGTTTACTTCCATCCCACTGGCTGAAAAAATGCTTGTTGACTACAATTTGACCATTGTGGGTACTCTCAGAAAAAACAAGAGGGAAATTCCTCCATCATTTCTCCCAAACAAACGAAAAGAAATTATGTCTTCTCAATTTGGATTCGACAACCAAAAAACCTTGGTGTCCTTCACACCCAAGAAGTCTAAATCTGTGCTACTTTTATCGACAATGCATTCTGGTAGTACAATAGATGAAAATAAAAAACCCGAGATAATAAATTTTTACAATTCTACCAAAGGAGGTGTCGATACCTTTGACCAGATGGTGCACACATATTCGGTATCCCGCAAAACACGCAGGTGGCCATTACGCTTTTTTTATGGTATAGTGGATCAAGCAGGCATTAACGCCAACATTATTCTCCAAATTGTTAAGCGTGATAGACAAAAAAGTGTTCGTCGAAAATACCTATTTGAACTTGGACTACAACTGGTCAGGCCTCATATGGAATGACGTTTGACAAAACCAATACCTCGAAAATTGAAAGAATCAATAATGAATATTCTAGATATGAAAACAGAAGAAAAAGTTGATCCACCTCCAGCAAAATTGCTAAAACAGACTCGCTGCATTTTATGTCCAAGAACAAATGACCGAAAAACAAAAACTGCCTGTGCGAAATGTTTCAATGCTGTTTGCAGTAATCATCGAGCTGAAATATGTACCGAGTGTTTGAAATAAATGTTTTATTATTGAAACAAAAGTGTCATCTTTTATATTTTGTTCATTAAATAGGAATATGTCACTGGGGTTATTGGTAACCCTGCCTAAGCAACTATAGCCGTGCTATTCGCCTAAGCGCTCCAGGGTTAAATAAAACTGTAATTAAAATAAAAGCCTTTTATTTATCCTACGTAATTATCGTTCGTACAACTTTACTCATCTTTTTTTAATTTTATGTCTTTGTACTTGAGTTAGTTGTAACTTTTATACCTCAAATGAAAGCTTGTTAGATAGAGATATCATTTACATAATTTGCACATTTAATTACTAGGAGATTTTTTTACAGAAAATTGCATTTTTATCGAATAAGTTAGTAAAAAAATAAGAAAATCATACATTTCAAAAGCGTAATTTTAAAACTTTTGTAAGTTTTCAACATTTTGTTACTTATTATGCACTATTGGAATGTCCGCTATGCGACGATAACAAAAAATTCAAAATCAAACATGTAGTTTTTTTGTATTCCAAACTTAACCGTGTGAAATCGAATAAAAAATAAAATTCACATGAATCAAAAACGGTTTACTTCTGGATACGACATTATAGGACAAAAGCGGTTGCTTTTGACCTATTCTATCACCCCTTAACAGGAATACGTGACATTACAAGTCACCTGACATTCCCGACATTCATCTCCGACATTCGTTAAATATTGTAATTAATGAATAAGCAAAAAATCATAACCTCCAACTAAATCCTTCAAAATCAAAGTGATTATTTTTCGCGTAAAGGAAATGTTAAATACAACTTCAATCTTAGTTTAGATGGTGCTACTATCGACGTTAATCAAGCAGTCAAAAACTTGGGAATTCTTTTCGACGAGAGCCTCACGAGCAAACAAAGTTACAAAAAACTATTTTCCGATCTCATGTCAGTTGTATCTGAATATAAAATAAAAGAACCTGATGCGAATGTTTAAAATTACCTACTTTTTGGTCGGAAGGACGAAAGCATCATTTATAATTTATAATTTTATTTATTTATAATAATCCATACATTGACTGAACAGAGTGATCCAGTTCACAGGCAGGGAAAAAACAAAAAATGATTCAAAAACAAATCTCTAAACAGTACATGATAAAAAAGAAATAAATTTAAATTATCCAATTGTTAAAAAACACCCCTTGAGGTCGATTTTAGTGGAACTAAACATGTCTAATTCACTTAGACATTACACATAACATAAAGAGGCGAAAATAACAATAAATTTGTCCGCGGAACAGGTAAATAAAATGAATTGTTACCACCATGACGAGTACGCAAATCGGGAACGCGTAGAAAGATCCTGTCTAGAAGAAAAGAGCAATCAATTGTTACATTCAACAAATTACATAAAAATTTGCCAGCTAACAGATTCATACGTTTGACTAAATTATGTAAATTATATCTACTTAAGAGAATGTCGCGTATACCCCTTTCAGGGTACGCTCTATCATCTTTGAACCATAAGTATTTCACAAAACGACGTTGGATTCTCTCGATGTTTTTACAGCGTATATCATAGGCCTGGTACCAGATAATCGAACAGTATTCTAAAACAGATCTAGATCTAGATTAAAAAGTTAAATTAATGTATACTAAGTGACATATAAATCCGAACACCCAGTTTAAATGATTTTATTTTAATAAAACTTTGTATAAGTACTTAATGAAGCATAATAAGTAAATGATAAAAATTTCAAAATGATTGCACTGCCACCAACTCCTGTCGAAGTGCTTCTAGAGTATGAGGAGGACGTTGCAAATTGAGCAATCTCCTACCCATCATATCCCACACGTGCTCAATTGGGGATAAGTTGGGAGATCTTGGTGGCCATGGTAACAATGTGACATCATTATGTTGAAAGAAGTCTATTGTGACTCTTGCAACATGTGGTCGGGCATTATCTTGTTGGAAAGTTGGATCTGCCAGGGTGTCAAGATAGGGTAAAAGATGGGGTTCTAGAACTTCGTGGATATAACGCTGTGCGTTCATGTTACCTCCGATGAAGATTAAAGGTGACCTGGAACCATAAGCTATAGCACCCCAAACCATGACTCCAACAGTGTGATGAACATGTCTTTCAACAAAAAACTGTGGATTCCTCCTTTCACCACGTCGCCTTCTAACCCTGGCACGACTATCGTGCATGCCTAAACAAAATCGAGACTCGTCACTAAAGACAATACTGTTAAATTCCTGATCCCAGAGTGACCGTTGTCTGCACCACTCAAGGCGATTACGTCGGTGTTCTCGAGTTAAAGGGAGGCCCAGTGTGGCCGGTATGAAAACAAGCCAAAACTTCTCATTCGTCGGTAAGCACTTCGCATGCCAATAGGTCTTCCGTGTTCTGCAAACCATTCATTTGCAATGGACCTGGTAGTGGAGAAACGGTCCCTTAAGGCCAATAATCTTAAGTGGCGATCTTCACGGTCTGTTGTTCTACGGCGGCGTCCAGTGCCCCTTGCTCTTTGCGTACGGCCTTCTCGAAGCCATGCCTGACAACACCTAACCACAGTGTCTACACTTCTTTGCACTCTAACTGCAATTGCCCGAAAAGAAAGTCCACCTTCCCGAAGTCCCACTATACGGCCCCTATCAAACTCTCTTAGTTGACGAAATCGTACAGGTCTCCGTACTCTAGGCATCGTAACCGATCGCAGAGGATGTCAAGAACCAAAATCCGCCAACGTTGATTCTTTACTGCGGCTGAAATATTCATTTTTAGAGTGTTAGTGAATTAAAAAAAAGCAGTATAAAAACCAGAATGTCCAACTGATAAGGCTGAAAATTTTTTCACTTGTTATTTACAGTAAGATAAATACATTCACCAACTTTTATTAAAATAAAACCATTTAAACTGGGTGTTCGGATTTATATGTCACTTAGTATATTAGTATTATTGAAATGTCTACTGTTTCTTATAACAAAACCAAGATTTTTAAAGGCTTTTGCTATTATTGCATTAATGTTATCAATAAAAGAAATACGCCCAAATCCTTGACGATATTAAAACGACAAAGAACATTGCTACCGATTTCAAAATTAAAACATGTCGGTTCCACCCTGCGTGTAAACGTCATAGTAGTACATTTATTGACATTCAAGTGCATGTTAGTTACCTTACACCAGTGATCAATGGCATTCAAATCAAACTGTAACCTTAAACTGTCTTCTAAGCAACACACGCTATTAAAAATTTTGAGGTCATCGGCACATACTCACAACGCAAGTCTGTTGATAAAAATTAAAAATAAAAGAGGACCCAGAACAGAACCTTGGGGCAGCGCTGATGTAGCTAAAACCGCACCAGACTTATGTCCAGTTTACTACTTTCTTCTAGGTGGACGCCTGGTACGACTTTGTAATCGTAGGAGGAGGCACGGCCGGATCTGTGTTAGCAAATAGACTGTCAGAGATATCTAGCTGGAAGGTGTTGCTACTAGAAGCTGGCGGACAAGAGACGGAAATCAGCGACGTGCCGATTCTAAGTCTGTATTTGCACAAGAGCAAGTTGGATTGGGGTTACAAGTAAGTATCACTCATCGAAGATTGGATGGTATCCTACTTTGGAATTGAATTCGAGCGTTTACACAAAGATACTGCTAAGGAGGAAGTTCCAATCTAACTAAGGTAACGAAAATTCAGTAGGGAAACTAAAAAAATCGTTATATAATTGAGGAAAAATACCAATCGCGTGTGTGGTCAGGGCAAAAATATCCAAAGGACAGCGTCACATCGTATTCGCTGGAATACAAACGTTTTCATATATGCAGGGTGTTTCAGTTTATTGTTGCATAACTTTAAGATTCGATAGAACTTTTAAAATTAATGCATAAAGTCTATATCTATAAACATGGGTCGAAAAATGCGTGGCATCCGAAATACAGGGTGTTTAAATTTACTTTCTAAAATAGTTTTTTTTAAATATTTCGAACAATATTTGATGTATAACAGTGAAAATTGGTATACAAGGGTTTTTTGGTACGATAAAACGAACCGTGGGCATATTTTTACTGTAGCCGCTAGAGGGCGTTCTATATTTTACCTGTAGTGTATTAAAATGACCGATGTTTTTTTCTTAGTGCAATTTTTTGCTTTTTGAATAGAAAAACTGATTCTTCTCACTTTTCAACATAAAAAAGCTTTCTTGTGAATTTCCGTTATAGTTAGCCGTTTTCGAGATATTTCGATTTTTAAGGTTCGATGCATTTTTTATTGTTTATGGGAAAATAATATTTTTTTACCTTTTCGATTTGGGCATTACAAGTAATTAAGATGATCGTTTAGATTGTGTTTTTAAACACAGCAATAATTCCTAACTCCAAATAAACACAAAAAAAAACAGAATATTAATTTGTTTAATTTTCCAATATTATTTTTAACAAATTAAATTAATTATTTACAACTAAAATGCTATTGGATAGTTAGGACAAACATACAAAATCTAAAGTAGTTGCTCGAAATGTAAACCCAATTGTTCAATACACAATTCACATCTACGAATGATCGAACGTGGTATAGCATTATTCAAATAAGGCCTTATTTCATCAAATACATTCCTGATTCTGCCTATTAGCATATCTGTTGTGGTTACGGGAGTCTGGTACACTTTTTCCTTTAGAAATCCCCACACAAAGAAATCTAATGGATTTAGGTCAGGGGATCGTGGAGGCCAGGCGACTGGTCCTCCACGGCAGTTCCATCTTTCTGGATAATTTTCGTCCAGCCAGTTTCTAACTATTCTCGAATAATGAGCTGGACAACCATCAAGCTGGAACCAGGCCAATCTTCTTAAATCTAACATAACATCATCCCACATATTTGCATGTTTAGCCCTTAAAAATTCCAAGAAGGTCGCAGCATTTAACCTTGCAGGCAAAAGGTAGGGTCCAAATTGTCGATTACGGTAGATACCAATCCACACGTTCACACTAAAATCATGCTGAAAATTTCTTTCCCGAACTGCATGCGGATTTTCATGCGACCAAATATGTTGATTATGAAAATTTACCACTCCACGTTTAGTGAACCATGACTCATCGGTCCATAAAACGTTACTTAAAAACTCCCTATTATTATCAGTTCTATCAATAATCCACTGACAAAATGTGATTCTTCGTTCTCCGTCCCCTGGCTGTAGTCCTTGCACAGGTTGCAAATGGTAAGGACGTCTATGGTCATTTCTAAGAACAAGGTGAACATGGGTTGCTGAAATTCCCAAGGCACCAGAAACTCTCCCAACACTTGTGGTCGGATCTCTATCAAACTCACGCAGAATCATACGGGTAAATCTGCGCTGACGAACATTTATGTTTTGTTCCCTTTGGAGATTTCCAAAACCATTTTCAATTATTTGGCGATGCACTCTTACAAACACTGAGCGAGTTGGATGTCGTCTGTTTGGAAATCTTCGTGCGTATTCTCTGGCTGCTTCCGCTGCGTTTCCATTTACAAAGCCATACACAAAATGAATATCCGCTAACTCTTGATTGGAGAATAAAAATGGCATTTTTATAAAACTTACAAAAAAAAACAGGTAAAATAAACTAAATTTCGTGCATTCACAATTGCAAAAAAACGTTTCAGGTTTCAACAGACAACAAAACTGTCAGCTAATTGACGTTTAACCTTATTCTGCTTTCAATTTCAAAAATATTTGCAGGCACAGCCTACTTCTAAAAATTATCGAGATACTGACTTTTTAACGTTATTTTATCATAAATAATTAAAAATGCATCGAACCTTAAAAATCGAAATATCTCAAAAACGGCTAACTATAACGAAAATTCACAAGAGAGCTTTTTTATGTTGAAAAGTGCGAAGAATCAGTTTTTTTATTCAAAAAGCAAAAAATTGCACTAAGAAAAAATTTTCGGTCATTTTAATACACTAAAGGTACAGTAGAGAGCGCCCTCTAGCGGCTACAGTAAAACTATGCCTATGGTTCATTTTTTCGTACCAAAAAACCCTTGTATACCAATTTTCACTGTTATACATCAAATAATGTTCGAAATATTTAAAAAAAACTATTTTAGAAAGGAAATTTAAACACCCTGTATTTCGGAAGCCACGCATTTTTCAACCTATGTTTATATAGACTTTATGCATTAATTTTAAAATTTCTATCGAATCTTAAAGTGATGCAACCATAAACTGAAACACCCTGTATATAATATGGAATTTCCCTATTTTTCACATTAAGAGGTAAGATTGCTTCATTGAAAGTTTCATTTTATTGGTACCGGATTTAACATACCATCAGTTGGAAGCATTGATGCTCAACTGATTAAGATTTTTTAAAGACAAAAGGAAAGACGGTTATACGATTATTTATACTGCCCAGATGGCTTTATGTAGAAAGTCAAAAATCAATATCTCCTCACCTCTTCTAACAGGCTCATTTGCAAATTATGAATGAAAATACACTAACACGCAAAATAATGGCAATGATTCGCATGATTTTCTTCAAAACAGCATATATTCTTCAATAATTGAGATATTGACATGAATCAAAAAAAGAACTGTTGAGAATATTTGAGGCTTAAAATTCTCCTACGAAGACACATCATTCAGAAATCCAATGTTTCCACAGGGTGTTCCGAAATTTGGGGCAAAATGCACCTTTTAGTTACACCCTGTACAACAACAAATATTTGCAAGCCGATAATGATGACAATGACATTACCTACAATTTGACGAAAAAATTAACACAAAAGTTATTTCAACTTTAATTTGAACAAAATTTTGGCCTGTCCGGTTAATTTTGCGTGGCAGTGTAGATTGAAACTGATCTAAGCAGGCATTTTCATCCGGAGCGTGAAAACTACGTGGCGTAGAGTAGTACTTTCTATTGCAAACATCGTTTTTCATTACTGCTACAGATTAACGATTTATTGTAACGCTATAAACAAGGAAAGTTCTCTTTAAACTAGTCAACTAGGCGTAAGAACGCTACTCTTAACATCACACATACGATTAGTTCAATGTTTACAAACAATATAATTTTCAAAATCATTTCACATTGATAAGCGTTAGGTGGATCGAACCCAAAGAAACTTGACCTTATACGAGGGACGTCCTTTAAGTTTTGCATATAGAAACATAGTAGGCCGCGCGGATCGAACGTCAGTACTGAATCTTAAACTCACTCTTTAGTAAACTTAAATTCAAAGTTTCACAACAAACAATACGTGCAGTGTTCTCACTACCGTGAATTTTTAAGTGTCATCAAGTCATTAGAAAAATGGAACTCAACCGAGAAAATTTTCGCGCCATAATTTATTACAACTTTCAGAGACAATTATCGCAACAAGAATGCCTTGCTGAGTTACTGTCTGTTTTCGGCAACAAAGCGAAACATCAGTCGACAATTTCCCGTAGGTATGGAGAATTCAAACGTGGACGGGTGAGTCTTAGGCCCGTATCGTCAGTCGTCCCTACACCAAAAATGCACCCAGAAAAACGTCGATGCTGTGCGCAAACTCATCATTGAAGATAGACATGTGCCATATCGCGAGATTGAGGCGTCCTTGAAGATCTCAACAACCTCAATTCCAAAAATTTTACATGAAGAATTAGGAGTAAGAAAATTAGTTTCTCTATGGATTGTTAGTGGTGGTGAGTCGTGGATTTACTGTCATGAACCAGAAAATAAACGACAGTCGGCTGTTTGGGTGTTCCAAGGTGAAGAAAAGCCAACAAAAGTAATCCGTTCTCAAAGTGTTTCGAAAAAGATGGTCGCGACATTTGTGTCAAAAGCGGGTCATATTGCAACAATTCCTCTTAATGAGCAAGGAACTGGTACTGCGGATTGGTATACCACCATTTGTTTGAATACTTCGAAAAACAATAAAGTCATTTAAAACTACCTACCGTGTTGTTTTATTTCCATATGCAAAACTTAAAAGACATCCCTCGTAGAGAGGTTTGACGAATATCATGAATCCCCCTAATTTGTTTTATGTCATCTGTTGAAAGGAATACAAATAAAACAACACTTCATTTAGCATATTGCAATTTGTGTGAAATAAGAGGTTCTATTATACCGATACATAAATCAGGAACAAAAACAGATGTTAACAACTATAGACCAATATCAATAATATCCAGTGTAGCAAAGGTTTTTGAAAAAGTTTTATTTACTAGAATGATTAGATACCTCACAAAATTCAAAATTTTAAGTGAAAATCAATATGGATTTACAGAAGGGAAGGCTACATCGGACGCAATAACTAAAATTGTAAATCAAATATATCAAAATATTGATAACAGAATCCCTTCAATCTGCATTTTTGTTGATTTAAAGAAAGCTTTCGACACAGTTAATCACAAATTATTATTAGAAGCATTGGAGAGAATTGGTTTCAGAGGAAACGCGTACTCACTGATCGACAGTTATTTGTCAAATCGCCCACAATCTGTGCAGATATCAGGATCATTTAGTAAAGAAATGTATATTAAGTGTGGTGTCCCACAAGGAACTGTCTTAGGTCCGCTGTTATTCAATATATATTTAAATGATATTTTCCAAATTAATTGTGTTGGCAAAATAACTAGTTTTGCAGATGATACTGCAATATTATATGAAGGCACTGACTGGTCTGATCTGAAAAATGTATTTGAAAATGATCTTATCAAAATTATTTGGTGGTTTAACAGTAGAAAATTAAGCATTAACTACTCTAAAACACATTCTTTACCATTTGGATCTTATGCTAGACATCTGCCAAATTACACAAATTTCTCCTTCAATATTAATGATCAAAAAATAGAGTGCCCAACATAAAATATCTTGGAGTGGTCTTGGATCCTCACTTACGATGGGACATCCATGTCAATTATATTTTAAAGAAAGTTAGATTTGTATCCTACAAAATTAAATACCTTCGGAATATATTGACAGAAAAATATCTTCGAACATTATACCATGCACTGATTGAGCCTCATCTCATATATGGTATATTAGCATGGGGAGCTGCATGTTCCTCACATATCTATAATTTAGATGTTTTTCAAAAAAGTATTCTAAAAATGATATTTAAAAAACCGAAACTTGATCCCACTGAAAAATTATACGCAGATATTCGAATGTATGATATAAGACAGCTTTATTTCTTACACAGTATCACTCACTACCATAAATTTGTAAACACCGACCAAAAAATTAAACATAATCATTATACCAGGTACAAAATTCGTGGCACAGTAGTTTCTCAACCGCATAAATCTATAATGCAGCGATCATATCTCTATTTAGCGCCTAAATTTCATGAAATTATACCTAAAGACTTAAAAGATTTACGTTTCGGAAATTGTTTCAAAAGAAATTTAAAAAAGTGGCTACATTCTATATCTAGGACTGAAATTCATAAACTCATAAATACGAACATCAACTGAATACATAATCTACTGTAGCTAATTTTTGTCCTTTTTTGTCATTTGCATTCTACAGTTTCAACTTAAATTATTGGTTCATGTACAGGCGATGCCTTCTATTGGGCCTGTTTTGATTTTATATTTATTTACTCATATTGTTTGTTATCTTTGTACATTGAGTGAATAAATATTATTATTATTATTATTATTATTGAGTAATTTTTAATCCATAGATGCAACACACTATTAGTAATGTCTTGTTTTAGAACTGAACCGTCAGACTCTGCCTGTCAAGCGATGGTAGAGAAACGTTGTAGTTGGACAAGAGGAAAAGTCCTCGGTGGTTCTTCGGTACTGAATACGATGCTTTACATAAGAGGAAATCGCAGAGACTTTGACCGATGGGCGGCTTATGGTAACCCAGGATGGTCTTTCCAAGATGTATTGCCGTATTTCAAGAAAAGCGAAGATCAGAGAAATCCCTATTTGGCAAAAGATAAGAGGTACCATGCTACAGGTACGTAACAAGGACTTTTTAGTAACAATCTAAAGTTATGATCTTAATTCGTTTTATTTTTACGAAAACAATGCACTCTAGGGAAAAAGCACAAGAGCAAATTGAAGGTAAAATTCGTTTCGAAAAAAAAAACAGTGGCGTACTATACTAAGTGACATATAAATCCGAACACCCAGTTTAAATGGTTTTATTTTAATAAAATTTTGTATAAGTACTTAATGAAGCATAATAAGTAAATGATAAAAATTTGTAAACGATTGCACTGCTTTAAAGCCCTTTGACCTTTAATAATGTGTGGATGCACCCTAATGTGATACGCATTCTCCAACGCGCCTTGGCATGCTTCTGATCAGGTGGTCAATGTCCTCCTGTGGTATCTCATTCCAGGCAACCACCAACTCCTCTCGAAGTGCTTCTAGAGTCTGAGGAGGACGTTGCAAATTGAGCAATCTCCTACCCATCATATCCCACACGTGCTCAATTGGGGATAAGTCGGGAGATCTTGGTGGCCATGGTAACAATGTGACATCATTATGTTGAAAGAAGTCTATTGTGACTCTTGCAACATGTGGTCGGGCATTATCTTGTTGGAAAGTTGGATCTGCCAGGGTGTCAAGATAGGGTAAAAGATGGGGTTCTAGAACTTCGTGGATATAACGCTGCGCGTTCATGTTACCTCTGATGAAGACTAAAGGTGACCTGGAACCATAAGCTATAGCACCCCAAACCATAACTCCAACAGTGTGATGAACATGTCTTTCAACAAAAAACTTTGGATTCCTCCTTTCACCACGTCGCCTTCTAACCCTGGCACGACCATCGTGCATGCCTAAACAAAATCGAGACTCGTCACTAAAGACAATACTGTTCCATTCCTGATCCCAGAGTGACCGTTGTCTGCACCACTCAAGGCGATTACGTCGGTGTTCTCGAGTTAAAGGGAGGACCCAGTGTGGCCGGTATGAAAACAAGCCAAAACTTCTCATTCGTCGGTAAACACTTCGCATGCCAATAGGTCTTCCGTGTTCTGCAAACCATTCATTTGCAATGGACCTGGTAGTGGAGAAACGGTCCCTTAAGGCCAATAATCTTAGGCGGCGATCTTCACGGTCTGTTGTTCTACGGCGGCGTCCAGTGCCCCTTGCTCTTTGCGTACGGCCTTCTCGAAGCCATGCCTGACAACACCTAACCACAGTGTCTACACTTCTTTGCACTCTAACTGCAATTGGCCGAAAAGAAAGTCCAGCTTCCCGAAGTCCCACTATACGGCCCCTATCAAACTCACTAAGTTGACGAAATCGTACAGGTCTCCGTACTCTAGGCATCGTAACCGATCGTAAAGGATGTCAAGAACCAAAATCCGCCAACGTTGATTCTTTACTGCGGCTGAAATATTCATTTTTAGAGCGTTAGTGAATTAAAAAAAACAGTATAAAAACCGGAATGTCCAACTGATAAGGCTGAAAATTTTTTCACTTGTTACTTACAGTAAGATAAATACATTCACCAACTTTTATTAAAATAAAACCATTTAAACTGGGTGTTCGGATTTATATGTCACTTAGTATATTTTTATTTGGAAAATAGTCCTACTAATCCCCTGTACCTCCGCCACTGGTGCACGTTAATTTTAAGACTTTTGAATGTGGGCACTGCTTAGGTAGAACCACATACCAAATTTTTGTTCGTCTTAGTGGAGGGTTTTGAAGATATTACATTTTTTTTCTTTATTATTAAACTTCAACACCACCCCCCGTATATTTTTCGTGAAGCCCTCGAGAAAAAAATGTTACATAGAAGACCCCTCCTAAAATGCGGCCATGTGTATGATGTTTGATTTTTGGTCATGATTTGTGATTCACCATGTATAGTTCTTCTGATTGATAACGATCACCCCTTCTTCCGTTTGATCCATGACTTTTGTGACACACTGTATACTAAAACTATGTAGCATAAGCTAAGCTTTATAGATCGAAATAACGAATACAAAATAACCACTGTATACCGCTCTCAACAAATGCTAGAGGGTTGCTGTTCTGATTGCTCATTGATGTCTCCTCTCCGAACATGGGTTATGTTCAACAGCACCATTGATTGAGGGATTCTATCTGGGAAATAGACAACTATATACTGTACTCCTGCGTCCAAAAGGGAATCTGAAAGATGCTAGCGCATTCTATGAGACAGTAGAAGAATACAACAATGAATTTACAAATCTACAACAAGGCCCCTCAGCAAATCTTAGATCGGATAAGGACATAATATTGTTCTTCTGATTGGAAATAATCCCACCCATTACCCCCTTCCATTTGATCCATGACACCCTGTATACTAAGACCATGTAGCATAAGGTAGGCTTCATAGATAAATCTAACCAGTACAAAATAGCCACCATATATGGGGTTGTCCAAAAGGGACACAGGAAAGTAAACGCATATTAAAACAAGAAAGATTGATATTCAAATCAAGTTGGGTACTTTATTTTGAAGGTTCATTTATACCATTTATGTATGGAAAATAATATCGCTCAAATGTTCACCACGACTGGATTTACAGACGTCCACGCGATGGTCGAAATTTTCAATGACATTTTGCAACATGGTCGGTTCTATGGCATTTATCTCGGCAATGATGTTGTTTTTGAATTCTTCGAGGGTGGCTGGTTTGTTGACGGAGACTTTGCTTTTCAAATATCCCCATAAAAAGAAGTCAAAGGGAGTCAAATCGCACGATCTTGGTGGCCACGGCACATTTCCTCATCGAAGAAGGACTGCAATCGATGGATATTGACGTTGGTTGTGTGGCATGTTGCACGGTCTTGTTGGAAATAAACATCGTCCATATCCATTCCTTCAAGTTGTGGCAAAAATAGTCCTTCCTCTATCATCACGTGATATCGCTCAGAATTGACGGTAACGGCGTCCCCGGCCGCATTTTCGAAAAAGTAAGGTCCGATGATGCCTTTTGACCACAGTGCACACCACACAGTCACTTTTTGAGGATGCATCGGCTGCTCTTGATACTCACGGGGATTTTCGTTCGCCCAGATGCGGCAGTTTTGCATGTTTACCGTCCCATTCAAAGTGAAATGCGCTTCGTCGCTGAACATGATTTTTGATGAAAAATTGGCATCAATTTGGCGGTGTTCAAGGAGCCAATCTGAGAGCGTTCAGCGCGAAAAATGGTCGGCTCGACGCAGCTCTTGCGTCAATTGGATCTTATAGGCGTGTACATTCAAATCCTTGTGGAGAATGCGGAGCAAACTGGTTCTCGAAATGCCCAATTCTTGATTGATTGATTGTTTCGGATTGTCTCTCACACTCTCCTTCACAACAGCAATATTTTCCGGTGTGCGAACGCTCCTTGGCCGGCCAGAGCCTGGCAGATTTACCACAGAACCTGTTGCATCGAATTTACGCACCAGACGACCGATGGTTGTTTCGTTTGGGCGGTTGTTGCGACCGAAATGTTCACGAAGCGCGCGAAACGTGTTTTTTATTTTTGCACCATTTTTGTAGTGCTCTTGAATAACTTTAATGCGGTCTTCAATAGAATACGACTCCATAGCGATCAATGGTAAACTTTCAACTAACAAAATGACATGTCGGTGACAGAAAACAAAGATGGCGTCTATGTCAAATTGACGTTTACTTTCCTGCGTCCCTATTGGACAACCCTTTATAATTTGTTTTATAATTTAATTTTAGAGGGTTACTGTTCTGACTGCCCATTGATATATCCTCTATGAACATGCGTTATGTTCCCTAATGCCATTGATTAAGGCATTCTACCTAGAAAATAGTCAATTATACTATACTGTACTCCTGCGGCCAAAATGGGATCTGATACTAGCACATAGGACAGTAGAACACAAACCAAATTTACAAATCTACTTTGAAAATAATTAGGGTATTGATTTTAATGTAAAAAATCGCATAATCCTCAATTTCAACTAGGGTAATGAAATTTTAGATTTTTATTGAACTAGTCATATGGATGCTTCAAAAAAGACACGCTAATCTATGTATGCTGCTGAAAAAATGAAAAAAAAGCACACTGAATAAGTTTTGTAGCGTCTAGACCTTACCTGTATCTACGTACAGTAGGTCTAGGTATTCGTGAAAGAACCCAACTAACAATTATCACTCCTATTAGAGTTGCAAGAATGATTATACAGTATTCCTTAAACAGCATTGTATACTGTAAGAACATTGGCAAAACCCTCTTAGAACAGCTATACAAGCGGAATGGGCACACCTAATGGGACACTTCAGTCATTTAAGAGGTTAAATAAGGGCTGCAGGTAACAGTTATAAAACAAAAGTGTAAGCCTCTTGCAGCCGCTATAGGACATTTGCGTCAGTGCAAGATTCAGTTTTTGTCAACTATACAACTATTCTGTTACGTGATTCTACTTTATTGCAACCAAACTATTTCTTATGTATTGTATAGACGAAGTGAAGAATATATAACTAACACATTACAGTCATCTTGTTTACTTACATATCGGCCATTGTGAATTTCATACACAGGTATATGATAAACTTCTACACTGTGATATAGGGCTATTGAATTACTTGCGTAGCGAATTTTATTGTGATTCTCGTGAAAATTAGTTACCCAATTTCTACGGGCTTCATATTTGATTCATATTTTGACAATGATCAAAAGTATGTCTAGATTTTTAAGATGGAAAACTGAACTTATCTGCGTTAAATCTTCCACAAATCCTATATTTAGACACAATTACCCTAATATTTATCTCTTTGTATCTGTAATTTCGAACTGAAACATAATTATTTAATATTAAATAGAGGAATAAATGTTCGCCCAGTATGGCGGGTGGTTGTGTATAATCATGGCATCGTCCATGTTGTCTTTAGTTTTTTAGAATATTTTGGTGTTGCCTGCAGGTGTTATACAACAATTTGACAAATGTCAGAAATGAAATACCGACAGAGTCGCATGATTCACCCAGAATTTGTACCAGATCTAGGTATATCTTCTGTTTGAACAGTTGATAAAACCTTTTGAACCAATATGCATGAGTTGTTTGTCTTAAAACATTGGTTATGACATTTTAACAAAAATATGACAGCAGAAAGTGAGGTTATGGTGAAGTTGTTTACCAACATATTAAGCACACGTACAGCCTTTAACAGTTACTAAACAACAGTTGTATAAGTGCTTCCGTTGGGAGCAATTTGTTGGCTAACGTAGTAAATTGCACAGCAAAACAACAAGGCTCGGGTTTGTTTTATAAACGTTACCATGGATGCCACAACACAAACATTTTGACTAACGTGCAAATATGCCGTATAAAATAGTTGTATAAACGTTTATGCAACAGTTAAAAATTTGCCCTATAAGCTGTTGTATAACTATGCTATAAGAATATTTTAAACACTTCATTTTAGAGCAAATATGTTGCAGAAAGCAAATCTGCATTCCACACAACATTAAGCCAGCATTTTGGTGTTCAGGCAACAACAATAGAGAGCTTTTATGGCTGAACGGTTCTTTTACCAAAAGCTTATACCACTGCTTTGCTAGTTGGGAAGATTCGGCATCGCGATACTTATTTTTGGCCTTCCATATGTTTGATGAACTAGCAAAACATCATAAAAATTACATCAGTACTCGCTAATAAAGGTTTGATGAAGATAAAATAGGAAGAATGAATTATACCGTCCTGGAAATTACACTTTCTGAAGCCAAAAATATGTATGTCTGCTTATTATACTGGAATCATATTCCATTTCCCCAATTGTCTTCTAAGTTATGAAGAATGAGCTAGACTGAAAATCGACCATAAAAGCTTACTCATAAATCTATCTGAAATTTCAAAGCATCTTCCAATCCAGTCCTCGGAAACATTGACCACAATCCGTCGTGTGTAACTAATTTACAGCGAGATATTTCGCAATGATCACTCCGTATGCATAAAATGTTAGAGATATTGTTAATGACCTTAACACTCTCTGCCGGTGTTACGTTGGTCTTCTCGTAACGCTGCTGTGTTTCATAATTGTTCGAGCGCGATAACCTTAGCGTTAATCGCTTATTTCAACTGCATCATTAGCTACTTGCGTTAGATAAATGTAGAACAAAAATTAGTTTGTGATTCAGTAAAAAAAAAGGTTTTCCTGAAGTTGGTACTTTTTATTGCGTATAATGACGGGAAAGATAATCGAGGTTGAGTGGGTTTTCTGGAATGCTAATCAAGACTAAATTAGGAAAAAAATAATGTCAGTGTTTTCCGTCTGTTTGTTGTCTGCCAGTCTGACTGCGAAAAGTTGCGCTTGATATTAATAACCACTATGTATACTAAGTGACATATAAATCCGAACACCCAGTTTAAATGGTTTTATTTTAATAAAATTTTGAATAAGTACTTAATGAAGCATAATAAGTAAATGATAAAAATTTCAAAATGATTGCACTGCTTTAAAGCCCTTTGACCTTTAATAATGTGTGGATGCACCCTGATGTGCTACGCATTCTCCAACGCGCCTAGGCATGCTTCTGATCAGGTGGTCAATGTCCTCCTGTGGTATCTCATTCCAGGCAACCACCAACTCCTCTGGAAGTGCTTCTAGAGTCTGAGGAGGACGTTGCAAATTGAGCAATCTCCTACCCATCATATCCCACACGTGCTCAATTGGGGATAAGTCGGGAGATCTTGGTGGCCGTGGTAACAATGTGACATCATTATGTTGAAAGAAGTCTATTGTGACTCTTGCAACATGTGGTCGGGCATTATCTTGTTGGAAAGTTGGATCTGCCAGGGTGTCAAGATAGGGTAAAAGATGGGGTTCTAGAACTTCGTGGATATAACGCTGCGCGCTCATGTTACCTCTGATGAAGATTGAAGGTGACCTGGAACCATAAGCTATAGCACCCCAAACCATAACTCCAACAGTGTGATGAACATGTCTTTCAACAAAAAACTGTGGATTCCTCCTTTCACCACGTCGCCTTCTAACCCTGGCACGACCATCGTGCATGCCTAAACAAAATCGAGAGTCGTCACTAAAGACAATACTGTTCCATTCCTGATCCCAGAGTGACCGTTGTCTGCACCACTCAAGGCGATTACGTCGGTGTTCTCGAGTTAAAGGGAGGACCCAGTGTGGCCGGTATGAAAACAAGCCAAAACTTCTTATTCGTCGGTAAACACTTCGCATGCCAATAGGTCTTCCGTGTTCTGCAAACCATTCATTTGCAATAGACCTGGTAGTGGAGAAACGGTCCCTTAAGGCCAATAATCTTAGGCGGCGATCTTCACGGTCTGTTGTTCTACGGCGGCGTCCAGTGCCCCTTGCTCTTTGCGTACGGCTTTCTCGAAGCCATGCCTGACAACACCTAACCACAGTGTCTACACTTCTTTGCACTCTAACTGCAATTGCCCGAAAAGGAAGTCCAGCTTCCCGCAGTCCCACTATTCGGCCCCTATCAAACTCACTAAGTTGACGAAATCGTACAGGTCTCCGTACTCTAGGCACCGTAACCGATCGTAAAGGATGTCAAGAACTAAAATTCGCCAACATTGATTCTTTACTGCGGCTGAAATATTCATTTTTAGAGCGTTAGTGAATTAAAAAAAGCAGTGTAAAAACCGGAATGTCCAACTGATAAGGCTGAAAATTTTTTCACTTGTTATTTACAGTAAGATAAATACATTCACCATCTTTTATTAAAATAAAACCATTTAAACTGGGTGTTCGGATTTATATGTCACTTAGTATAATTTTTCGTAAAAATGCAATGACCATTTCAGTTGACGATTATTTCGTTTCGAGCAGTCATGGAGTAGATCAAAAATATTGAATGACAATACTTTTTTGGTCCACTGTATATAATCGTGAAATAATTGAATTGTTCACCTATTACTGATGCTCTTTATCAGGTCGAAGCTTCGTTGGCATTTAGATAGACGTATGAAAGTTTCGCACCTTAATGATTTTAATGGCTATAATTGTTGCTCGAATATTACCTAATTCTGATACTTACGTCTGCAATGACCAAATAAGATATTCATGTTACTTACCGAGAAATTTGAAGTAATTAATCTTATGCAACCGTGAAGCTTACCTGAAATCAAGGAAGAACATGCATGAAAATTCATCCAGAATTACAAACATTTTAAGAAATCATTTTTATACAGGGCGTAAACTTTATGGTAGTCATTATTGGAATAGTATAGTTTACAACTTTAAGTGCTTCACATCGATCACAATCACCACAATCTTACTAATTTTTATAATCTAATCTAAAACGTTTCTAAATTGGGTAATTAACAAATAAACGGCATTAAGCAAAATTTGTAGTCAGTAAGTTCCATTAAATTAAATATTTAAAACACACATGACAACAGCGCGTCGGTCATTCATCACTCTTATCGAACCAGCAATCGATCGCAAACGGTAACAGTGGTTAGTTATCATTTTGCATAGATAAATTACTTTATCGTTTTGTCGAGGAGGGCATCGGGCGTGTTGTTTTGTTTTTGTTCGCGTACGTCGTCGTGTTTATTTACAATGTTCTCGAATCAAGAGTTCGCCGGTGAAGCTCGTCAGAATTCAAATCTTGCAGCTCAAGTTTAGCCAATAACCTACCAGAACTTTTGGAACAGACCTTAGACAACATGCCATTACAACGGAGACAGAATTTGTGGTTTCTTCATGACGGGGCACCACCACATTTTTAGAGGCGTCATTCAGTATTTGAATGAACATTATCCAAATCGCTGGATCGGTCGAAATGCTCCTGATCCTCGAAAATGGCCAGCAAGATCTCCTGACGTCAATCCGATGGATCTCTGGTATTGGGGAGAACTTAAAGGGATGGTTTATGGGGCTGCTCCAATAACAACTGAAGCACAACTTCGCGAAAAAGTTTTTAATGCGGCTGAAATAATAAATGGACAACTTCGAGGACCTTGAGTAAGAAGAAACTGGGTTCGTCGTAATGAAGCTTGTGTGGAAAGTGGAGGACGACATTTTGAACACCTACTTTAAATACAAAAAAAGTGCAGTGTGGGTTTTAAAAAGAAAGACAATGTATGTATCAAAATTGTGTTCCCTATTAAATAATGAAATAATACCTAAGAGCCAAAAATAACAAACTCCATCTATATTTAAACTGCGTTCCGTCGTAATTGCGGCGTTGTCAGATTTTATTTTACTTCAAAGTCGCTTTTCTCTAAAAAAATGTCGTTTTGATCCGTATATTATATAAAACTTTTTGCTTCTTTCAAGCCCCTCTATCACCCATTTAAATAATGATTGTCATAACGTTTACCCTCTGTATTTTAAAGAAATAAAAAATGGTGGTTTTCAAATAAAAGAGTGTAACACCATTTTCTTCAATGAGCTTCAAAATCATTTAAAGTATAAAACGGCATATTTACGATCGTAAAAATATTTATGAATATCTAGATCGTTTTAACAGCTAAAGAAAAGCTTGTTTTTAGAAACACATTTTTTTATTTTATTTATTTTTCAGGCGGATATCAGACGATCCAAGATGCTCCTTACAATACACCACTAGGAATTGCCTTCTTGGAGGCCGGTGCAGAAATGGGTTATGACATCAGGGACGTCAATGGAGATAAACAGACTGGATTTGCGTTGTGGCAGTACACGATGAGGAGAGGAGCCAGATGCAGTGCAGCCAAAGCTTTCCTAAGGCCAATCAGGTAATGAGTCGACATAGACTCTGCAACTGAAAATGAGGTGAATGTCTTGACTTACGTCACATACATGTGGAGCATAGTCAAACGCCCCTTGGAGCTGTTGATTCTATTCTCGGAAGTTCAAAAGCAAAGAATTTAACGTATTTCTGAATAGAACAGAATAGTTTTTAGTTGTGGTGAAAAACAGATGGTACGTGTAGTGCGTCACTGGATAGTTTTTTTGAGCTTAATAAAAGTTATTCGTAAAGCCTAGTGTCAAATTTTAGTCCAGTCAGAATTATTCAGCGTGTTCCTTAATGATATGCGAATATTTAAGGGTGTGAATCTACATGAAAAATCACGCCTCTGTTAAAACTAAAATTTATTTTTGCATTGTAAAAAAATTTGCAACTTTATTAACTTTCACTACGTATTAAATATCAGTGAAATGTCTGAAGCCGTTCTGAAAATATTAATTAATTTCCATTTTTTCCCCTAAAACTTCAACACCCCGAGTTTTTGTAAAACATTTTTGGACTATAGTTTATAAAGCAAACTAACATTAATTTTCCATGTAGATTTACACCCTTAAATATTCGCATATTATTAATGAAGTATTTTATAAAAATTATTTATAGCAAGAGTCAAAATATTATTTAGTACTATTTTCCACGAGAGTCCATCACATTTTGACGTCTACTGAGGTAGCAAGAGATGTACAGGGTGTCCCAGAAGTCGACGTCAAGCCGAAACCAGGTGATAGGCAAAATCAGAACAGCTATCAGAAAAATATTTAAAAAAAATTTATGTATGTGTTTTGAAAATTATAGGTGTTTGAAAAAGATCTAGAAATTTCACACCCTACGGCAGTCTGCCAACTCCTGATACTACAAATATTAACTTTTTTTGGATTTTATTTTCACAATGTAATGATGAATAATGCATCATCAAACTGGTGTCTCAACCTTGCTGAGAACTTTTCTCGTTTAGGAAAAATTGCCACTTATTTCCCAACCAAGTATTCCAAAGTAAAACTTTGCTCAACTTTAACTGGCTGTACTGGAAAAAAATGTACTACGAGAGTTTGGCAAGTAACCTTAAAAGTTGGCGCATTTAATAAGGATTGATGAGCCCCCCGAGTTGCTTTTTGTCGCACAATGTTAGAAAGACACAGGAAAGATCCACAGTTCTTTGAAAAAATTTTATGGTCGGATGAGACCACATTTAAGAAAGATGGGTACATGAACCTGCATAACTTACACGAGTGGCACGTAGCAAACCCACATTTGATGAGAGAAGATAAATCTCAATATCGCTTCAAGATAAACCATTGGCCAGGAATTTTAAATGGTAAAATAATCGGTCCGTTTGAGTTCCCAGAGACTTTGACTGCTGAGGTTTATTTAGGTTTTTTGCAAAATCATTTAGAAAATTTATTGGAGGACGTGCCACTGAGTATTTACAGGGACATGTGGTTTCAGCATGATGGCTGCCCAGCGCACTATGCACTCTCAGTGAGAGAGTATCTCGATCAAAACTTTCCAGGCAGATGGATAGGGCGGTCTGGTACAATACCGTGGCCAGCCCGGTCACCAGATTTCAATCCGTTAGATTTTTTTTACTGGGGAACTGTAAAAGAAAAAGTGTATTTCAAGCCGATTCAAAATGTAGCTGAGCTACGGCAAAGACTATTGGAAGCAGCCGAGTTTGTTAATAACCGTGGATTCGCTCGTTTAATAACCCGATCATTTTTAAGAAGATGTCGAGCGTGTATTGCGGCTGAAGGAAAACAGTTTGAGCATTTGCTGTAAAGGTAAATCATCAGCAGCAGCAGTTTGACGCCCACTGTTGTGCAAACAGTTATCCTTAAGGGTCCTTGTGCGTTTTCATAATCGCTGTTTAATTAGAAAATTTTGAAAAATGTTCATCAGTTTTTTTTCAAATAAAAATTGTGCATAAGTTAACGAGTAATCTTCTAAGTGTTATACCATTTTGGAATCGTTATTAAATGCGCCAACTTTTAAGGTTACTTGCCAAACTCTCGTAGTACATTTTTTTCCAGTGCAGCCAGTTAAAGTTGAGCAAAGTTTTACTTTGGAATACTTGGTTGGGAAATAAGTGGACATTTTTCCTGAACGAGAAAAGTTGGCAGTAAGGTTGAGACACCAGTTTGAAGATGCATTATTCATCATTACATTGTAAAAATAAAATCCAAAAAAAGTTAATATTTGTAGTAACAGGAGTTGACAGACTGCCGTAGGGAGTGAAATTTCTATATCTTTTTCAAAGACATATAATTTTCAAAACACATACATAAAATTTTTTTAAATATTTTTCTGATAGCTGTTATGACTTTGCCTATCACCCGGTTTCGGCTTGACGTCGACTTCTGGGACACCCTGTATTTGAACTTGGCTAACAGCTTCTTCGGTTACCCTGGCTATCATTCAAATGTGAGTGAATAATACTATTCTATTTTCATCAATAAATGTCAAATTGAAATACTTTATCAACATGATGAATGATTATGATATATAGTATTTTGAATATGCATCGTCATGTTCAATCCACAATAATCCATTAGCATTTTTTTTCAAAAGGTATTCAAAATATAACATCACAAAAAGAAGTATCAAAAATTACTATTTCTTTTATATTCTACCTTTTTTTTAAAAGCTGCAATACGTTTAACTGCTTCACAAAACTTTAGCTGACTTAGCCTGAGATTTTAGCCATCCACCGCCACGAGCATAAAACCGCGCTAAGAGCTTTTAATTATAATTAGTTGAGGAACATTTTTGCGAGGCATTTCCATTAGAATTTTCGTTCCATAACCACTACAAATGTGATATCATGAATACTTTTAATTTTAAGGTTAAGGAAAAATCTGCATATATCCATGTACTCCCACGTAACCAAGATTCTCATAGATCCAGCAACCAGGAGAGCATATGGTGTGGAGTTTCTGAAAAACGGAATCAAAAGAAGGGTGTTGGTTAGAAAAGAGGTGATTCTATCCGCGGGAGCGATAAACTCTCCTCATTTATTGATGTTGAGTGGAGTTGGTCCCGCTAACCATTTGAAAGAAAAGGGAGTTCCTGTTATACATGACTCGCCAGGAGTTGGTAAGTTTGTATTGGAAAAAGATTGGACGTGATATACAGAGCAACGTTCTTCTCTCTGACTTCTCTTTCAAGCTTGAAGTAATAAATTGTGTCCCAACTGGTATCACTGGACAACAAATTTTAGTTTTTTAATTGTATCTTGTGGGAAAAGTGCACTTCTTTGTTAATTTTGGGGCGCTGAATCCAAAAATGACAATGAAATAAAAAAATTAGTTGCGGTTTAGAAAAAAAACTTTTTATTTTTAAGGATATATTAAAAAAAGTAACAAGATTCATATACTTATAAGAATCACTATATGCGCTGTCTTTTTGCTGTTCTTTTATGGATCGTTTCTGGAGCATCTCTATCAAGAGTCCAACAGTAGTCTGCAAGCATGGAAGGATTCCACTTTCCCTGGTACCTTTTTTCCATTGTTGAAATATCCTGATGAAAACGTTCGCCGTGCACATCACTTACGGCTCCGCAATTGTCAGGAAAAAAGTCCAGGTGTGAGTGTAGGAAATGTATCTTAAGAGACATATTACAGCCCATCTTTTGATACGATGACAGCATATTTTTGACAAGGGTTTTATAGTTGTCAGCTTTTCTATTTCCCAAGAAATTAGTGACCACCAGACGGAAATCATTCCAAGCAGTTTTTTCAATACCTGTTAAAGTGTTTTCAAACTGTGTATCTTTCAAAATATTTCGAATCTGTGGCCCAACAAAAATACCTTCTTTAACCTTTGCCTCACTTAGTCTTGGAAATTTCTGACGCAGGTATTGAAAAGCTGACTATCTCTATCTAATGCCTTGACAAAGTTTTTCATTAGGCCCAACTTGATATGCAGTGGTGGTAATAAATTTTTTTCGAATCTACTAATGGCATATGCTGTACATTTTTTTGACCTGGCTCTAGGAATTGACGAAAAGGCCAGTTTTGTCTGGTGTAATGAAGTGCCTTTGCCCGACTGTCCCATTCACACAAAAAACAGCAAAACTTTGTGTAGCCTAGCTGCAGCCCAAGTAAAAGTGCAACAACTTTCAAATCGCCACAAATATGCCATTGGTGCTCATCGTATTTTATGCATGTCAATAGGTACTTCATATTGTCATATGATTCTTTCATGTGAACTGCCTACCCTACAGGAAGAGATGGTAAAATATTTCCAATATGCAATAACACTGCCTTTAAACTCAATGTTGAACTGTCTATGAACAATCTCCATTCTTCTGGGTTATAGTTTATATTTAAAGCCGCCAGTAAGCCGTTAATGTTACTGCAGAAAACCAAGTTATTCTCCATATTGAAAAATGGTTCTAAGTCTTTGTGGCGTTTGCGAAAAACACATACCGAAACATCGTCTTCTAATAAGTTCCACTGCTGCAGTCTTGATCCAAGTAACTCTGCCTTACATTTTGGAAGTTCTAAATCTCTTACAAGATCATTTAATTCTGACTGTTATTTTATGCGGTTGGTGGCATGACGTGCTCGGTATAAAATCAGGATCCCTTGACGTTGATGGCATATCTTCTTCCTGACGAATCACTCGATCGCCATGATCTGATTCGTTTTCTGATTCGCATGTTTAGGATTCTGGGGGTTTCGTCACTGTGAGGCAGAGGTCTCATCGCAGATGGTATGTTTGGGTAGTTAATAACCGATTTTTTTTTCTTGGACATACCTGTGGCTTGTCCAACACAAGGTACCATGCAAAAGTAACAATCATTAACATGATTTGTAGGCTATCTCCAAATCATTGGGACAGCAAAGCGCATAGACCGTTTTTTGCCATTTAACCAGCTCCTCAGACTTGAAGCACATGTATTACAGCAGATGTGGGGTGCCCACTGTTTGTCTTGATCACCTAGTTTACAACCGAAATAAAGCTGATATGCCTTTGTTATTAGTGGAGTAATAGACCGTCTCTGAGACGCAAAAGTCACATCACCACACACGTAACAAAACTGATCTGGATTGTTTACACACTTTCGAGACATCTTGCATGAACGCTGTCAGCCAACTGAGGAAAAAATGGCTAATATAAAACAATATAATGTACACGTATGTATAACGTAACACAATCATGCCGATTACATCATCTTTGCTTGCCGAATATAAAAATGTAGCACGTGCATTCTGGTGAATTATTTTATTATTAACACTGTCACAGCAGGAACACATATAATTACCGTATCTCTAAAACTTGAACTAATATTGAAAAAATAAGTTTCATTCCGGTTTTAGCACATTAAAAATAGTAATATTTTGTTGATTTTATTTAGGATATTTTTTGGCTGTTGATCAGTGTATTTTGAGACTTTGTTATTTCCTACACCCTGGCGAGAAAGTGTTGCAATCGAAAAAAATATTTAAAATGAGGATTTAAAAAGGATCTTGACGTTGCAGCTACACAGCAAAGACATTTAAACCAAAAACCGAAGTTGTTCTTTGTTCTGTCGATCTTTCGGAAATATTTATTTTCTTCATCAGGACGAATAAACGAAGATCTTTATATAACAATAGCTATAAATTACAATATCATTTAAAAACAAATTTACAACGTTGGCGTCTCGCAATCCAAAAAAAGACAAAAATTTATTTATCGGAAACAAAAAGAAAATATGCCGAAAGACTTCAAAAGATTTGTCAAGGGGGACAACTTTTTAATAGTAGTTCTTTATTTTCCCATCATATACGTACATTTAACACACACACACATGAGAAACAAAATCATGGGAAAACCTCAAGCGGGAGTTCACTTAGAGGTGTTCTTCCACTCAACCCTTGCCAGTAGTAGAATACATGTAAGAAAAATATCCTTACCTAACACTAACCAAAAAACACACATACAGTATGGGAAAAACCATTATTATACATTACGATGAGGAAGAGAGATGGAAATATACAAAAGTATGTAGGTGCGTGAAAGACACTCGATTGTAGGATCTTATCTGGCAGCGTCGGAGTGTGACGGACAACGGGGTAAAGTAGAAGAGTGATAAAAGAGAGAGATGGCAGAACGGGCGCTGGCGCCTACCGCTTAGACGGATGCGCTCAACAAATGCGATTTGTTTCTCCCATTCGCAGAGTTGCCGATACCAATATGTCATATTTCTAAGAAATATAAGTCTACACAAATTTCGGGAAAAATAGCTGCGGATTCCACATAAGAGTATTCCAAAAATGAAAAAAGTTCAAACTATTAAAATTGTATTAATGTTTCATGGTTCAAATCATATTTTTCATGTTTGTATATTGTTGTATAAATGATCTTGTAATCCCTATTCTTGTTGCCAGTAGAGATAGGGCTACAACTACCATATAACTATCAAATAGTAGTGATAAACAGGGTTTGTTTATAGCACAGTTCCCTGGTGTGGCGAATTTGCGCCATAGGGGCGATTTGACAACTTTGAAGGACAACTATAACGGTTACTATGGTGCCCGGTATTCCGGAATCTGGCAATACCTGATGATTCCTAACGTTTATTACGCCAGATTGTTTGCTGACTTGCGCAGTACAACATGACAATCAACGTGACTGAGCACCTGGTAACCCTGGTTTAAGGTGTTATATTTAAAGAGCTTGGGGCAGTTAGGTATCTAGGTCACATTTTTTAATGTATTTCGAGAAATCCGTAATGTTGAGTAAATACTAGATCAAGTTTCTTGCTTAGTTTGCTGAAAATTCTACAATAGACGTACATTTTGAGAAACAGAGATTTGGTGACGACAAAATCGTAAAAATATAACGCATTTTCGTAAAATAATTTCTTTGTTGAAAAGACTGTGGCTTGATGACCCATTGAACGAGTATAGTGTCCCGCTCCGCTTTGAATATTCGAAACACTATACTCCAGCAGCATTCAGCTTCAATGTTATCTTTATGAAGTTCTAACGTCTAGGCCATGCTGATTAAAAGCTTGAATGAATCAACACTTAACTCTAAATTCCCCACAATTCGGGAAGCTCTACTCAAATTGGCAACACAGCGTATCTGCCTATTATTCTCATTCGTGATACAGGTCTGCGGTTAACGGTAGGAAATATGTACGAATAGCGATGAAAGTAGACGAGCCGATGCGCTGTTGCCAAGAAATGATTTCCCATGTATAACAATGGTTTTTCCTAAGGTGTATACAGCTTTATTATTTAACTTTAGGTGCATCGCTCTCACGTAAAAGACGCTCAGCTACTGAATAGTAGCATTTTTCTGAAAAAAAAAAACTCTAAACGCTAAAGAACAAACTTTTTCCTTGGCTTGGACTTCTTTGCGTTGTGGGTACATCCCAAGATCCTTGTATCTAAATGACAAAGTTGTAATATAAATATCTAAGTCGAGTCGTTGAAAAAAGACGTTAAGTTTGAATGCTGAAGTACCTATCTAAGCAAACTATACTTCGTTGCGATGCATCACGACCTTTTTCAATAATTCTGAACAAGCAAAGCCCAAGCGATTTAATCTTTGAAAAAACCCAAAAATGGGTATATTCAATGCTTCAACTTGGTCAGAAATTATAATTTTCAAATCTCCAAGTATCTACATTAAAGGTAAAATTTTGCTCTACAAGACCCCGATGAGTATTATAGGGTGCGTCATCTATTACTTTTTTTTCTATTTGAAAAATCAACACGCTTTTTTTATGGAAAAATGAAGGTTGGTTTATGCCATTTATGTATGAAAAACAACATCAGTCATGTCACCACCGCGGCTTCGTTTACAGGCCAACATCCGAACATCAAAATTTTCAATGACTTTTCCCAGAATAATCGGGTCTATGGCCGCAATTTCAGTCCGAATATTGCGCTTTAGGTCTTGGATTGTCCGGGGACCATTCGCATATACTTTTCCTTTCAAAAATCTTCTCCAGAGAAAAAAGTCAAGAGGTGTTAAATCGCACGATCTCGGGGGCCAACTGACATCTGAATTTCGTGAAATTATGCGGTCTTGAAATTGAACTGTTAACATGCCGCGATAATGTTCCCCGTTGACGGTGATGGCCTTTCTTCGGCATCTTCAAAAAAGAATGGTCCAACGATGCCACCAGCCCATAATCCGCATCAAACAGTCACTTTTTCAGGATGGAGAGGTTGTTCATGATATTGGTATGGATTTTCAGCCGCCCAGAATCTGCAATTTTGCTGATTTACCTACCCATTGAGGTGAAAATGATCCTCATCAGAAAAGAGCACATGGTAATACATAAACTTTTTGGTAAAGAAAAAGTAATAGATAGCGCACCCAGTATTAAGATTAGTTTATTTTAAAGTGATTTTTAAGCTTCTTTCTTAGCCAAAATTGGCAGACTTTTGATTTTCGTAGACTACACAGACAACATGGGACTTAAACGCTGCTGTGTTTTGCTAACTATGTTACTCTTCTTTCAATACAGAACCTGATGTTCGATTTGAACGTAACGTAATTCATAGTACATGCACGAATTAAATTAATACTTGAGTAATGTTATAGAAACTAATTGAATCAATTATGTAGATCAAATTCACTCGTGAAACTACCACTGTGAACATTCTCACGTACATCCTACTTTCATTGAATATACTAAAATCCTGATTATTATTTCGTATTATTCCTAAAATTTGATCTGTGCCAGCGATAGGCGTTACAGTTTTCAAGTTTTTCTTGTCATATTAATGAACGTAGCGTTTTTGCAATAATTTTATTAAATCAACATCTAATGTTGAAATCTTTACCTAGACCTAAATATTCACATTATATTCCATTCGGTTTTATACGTGTATCAGATAAGTGGACTCTTGCGCCACACCGCCTGATAGTTCATGAGCAGATGTAATTTTTTTGAAGTTGTGTTCGAACCGTTCGTACTCCGGAAAATATCGAGAGAGTTTGTGAAAGTATAGTGGAGCGCCATGAAACGTCTACCAGACATCGTTCTCAAGAACCTGGTATTCGTCGCACGTCATTATGCGCAATTTCGAGAAAAGACTCGCATTTGCGGGCATATGAAATTCAGTTAATCCAAGAACTAGGATTCGATAAAAGATAAAGGTGAGAAAAAATCGACGTATTTTATTACATTTCACAAAAATTCAAGATACAAGCCAGTCAGTTATACTAAGTGACGTATAAATCCGAACACCCAGTTTAAATGGTTTTATTTTAATAAAATTTTGTATAAGTACTTAATGAAGCATAATAAGTAAATGATAAAAATTTCAAAATGATTGCACTGCTTTAAAGCCCTTTGACCTTTAATAATGTGTGGATGCACCCTGATGTGCAACGCATTCTCCAACGCGCCTAGGCATGCTTCTGATCAGGTGGTCAATGTCCTCCTGTGGTATCTCATTCCAGGCAACCATCAACTCCTCTCGAAGTGCTTCTAGAGTCTGAGGAGGACGTTGCAAATTAAGCAATCTCCTACCCATCATATCCCACACGTGCTCAATTGGGGATAAGTCGGGAGATCTTGGTGGCCATGGTAACAATGTGACATCATTATGTTGAAAGAAGTCTATTGTGACTCTTGCAACATGTGGTCGGGCATTATCTTGTTGGAAAGTTGGATATGCCAGGGTGTCAAGATAGGGTAAAAGATGGGGTTCTAGAACTTCGTGGATATAACGCTGCGCGTTCATGTTACTTCTGATGAAGATTAAAGGTGACCTGGAACCATAAGCTATAGCACCCCAAACCATAACTCCAACAGTGTGATGAACATGTGTTTCAACAAAAAACTGTGGATTCCTCGTTTCACCACGTCGCCTTCTAACCCTGGCACGACCATCGTGCATGCCTAAACAAAATCGAGACTCGTCACTAAAGACAATACTGTTCCATTCCTGATCCCAGAGTGACCGTTGTCTGCACCACTCAAGGCGATTACGTCGGTGTTCTCGAGTTAAAGGGAGGACCCAGTGTGGCCAGTATGAAAACAAGAAAAAAATTATCATTCGTCGGTAAACACTTCGCATGCCAATAGGTCTTCCGTGTTCTGCAAACCATTCATTTGCAATGGACCTGGTACTGGAGAAACGGTCCCTTAAGGCCAATAATCTTAGGCGGCGATCTTCACGGTCTGTTGTTCTACGGCGGCGTCCAGTGCCCCTTGCTCTTTGCGTACGGCCTTCTCGAAGCCATACCTGACAACACCTAACCACAGTGTCTACACTTCTTTGCACTCTAACTGCAATTGCCCGAAAAGAAAGTCCAGCTTCCCGAAGTCCTACTATACGGCCCCTATCAAACTCACTAAGTTGACGAAATCGTACAGGTCTCCGTACTCTATGCATCGTAACCGATCGTAAAGGATGTCAAGAACCAAAATCCGCCAACGTTGATTCTTTACTGCGGCTGAAATATTCATTTTTAGAGCGTTCGTGAATTAAAAAAAGCAGTATAAAAACCGGAATGTCCAACTGATAAGGCTGAAAATTTTTTCACTTGTTATTTATAGTAAGATAAATACATTCACCTACTTTTATTAAAATAAAACCATTTAAACTGGGTGTTCGGATTTATATGTCACTTAGTATACATATCGGCCACCCTGTATAAGTAAGCACCAGTAAGAAATCTTAAAAAGAACTCAAAAGTTTTTGTAGTATTTTTTTTTTCAGGAAACGTTATTAATCATTACAATTTAATGTACAGAGAATTCCTGTACAGAGATGTCTGTCTATGGAAAATAAATTGAATTGTATTGAATACTGACATCTAGTGTCTTGGAACTAGCAAATTTTATCGCAATTTAGAATATAAACTAACAACAGGGATATTTCTATTACATATTATTTTCAATTCCAGGACAAAATCTTCAGGACCATATTTCGAGTGTGGTGACTTTCTTGATAGATCCTCCTATCAGTCTTCTCCTGAATCGTTTGGTCAATTTGAACACTGCTTTTAGATACGCCATCAAGGAGGACGGACCCCTGACGTCGTCAATAGGTAATTGAAGATATGATTTTGTAAACAATTTAGAAATTGACTAAATGAATAGGGTCATAGATTGAAGGATACGTTAAAGACTTACAATGGTCTCTACTTCTTTTTCCTGCAAGTCTGAGACGCCCGGATCCGCGCCTGGCCATGTTCAGATCTTTGTCATTGTGAAGTTTCACAGACAAATATTCTCACAAACTACAGGCATACACGAAGAGATACAGTAGCGGACAAAAGTTTGGAAAAAAATATTAACATTATTATGAACTTAAATAATTAAAATTGTGAAGGAACAGATAATATAATTATTAAAGTCTACCTTTGGCTCCTGTACTAATACAAGGTTCATCTTATCAATATTCAAATTCTCTGAAAATAAAAACACGTGTTTTTTTAAATACCTCAGTTTTGCCGTATTTATTCGTTCTGCGATACTCTGATATTGCGTGCGGTAAATATTAACACCAGTGAGAATGGCAAAAGTAAAAGAATTTTCAAAAGATTTAAGAGACAAACAAAGTAATTGAATTATTTAGAAGTCGTGTTAGAAATGCTGACTTCTCAAAGATTAAAAATAAACAAATGGACGATTTCGAAAATTATTAGTAAATATCAAGAATATACGGATCAACAGCAACGCGGCCCAGGTGCGGAAGACCGAAAAAACCGATTATGTTTTGGATCCCTACATTAAACGTTTGTCCCATGAAGATCCTGGAATGCCAGCCACATATACTAAGTGATATATAAATCCGAACACCCAGTTTAAATGGTTTTATTTTAATAAAATTTTGAATAGGTACTTAATGAAGCATAATAAGTAAATGATAAAAATTTCAAAATGATTGCACTGCTTTAAAGCCCTTTGATCTTTAATAATGTGTGGATGCACCCTGATGTGCTACGCATTCTCCAACGCGCCTAGGCATGCTTCTGATCAGGTGGTCAATGTCCTCCTGTGCTTTCTCATTCCAGGCAACCACCAAATCCTCTCGAAGTGCTTCTAGAGTCTGAGGAGGACGTTGCAAATTGAGCAATCTCCTACCCATCATATCCCACACGTGCTCAATTGGGGATAAGTCGGGAGATCTTGGTGGCCATGGTAACAATGTGACATCATTATGTTGAAAGAAGTCTATTGTGACTCTTGCAACATGTGGTCGGGCATTATCTTGTTGGAAAGTTGGATCTGCCAGGGTGTCAAGATAGGGTAAAAGATGGGGTTCTAGAACTTCGTGGATATAACGCTGCGCGTTCATGTTACCTCTGATGAAGATTAAAGGTGACCTGGAACCATAAGCTATAGCACCCCAAACCATAACTCCAACAGTGTTATGAACATGTCTTTCAACAAAAAACTGTGGATTCCTCCTTTCACCACGTCGCCTTCCAACCCTGGCACGACCATCGTGCATGCCTAAACAAAATCGAGACTCCTCACTAAAGACAATACTGTTGCATTCCTGATCCCAGAGTGACCGTTGTCTGCACCACTCAAGGCGATTACGTCGGTGTTCTCGAGTTAAAGTGGCCAGTGTGGCCGGTATGAAAACAAGCCAAAACTTCTCATTCGTCAGTAAACACTTCGCATGCCAATAGGTCTTCCGTGTTCTGCAAACCATTCATTTGCAATGGACCTGGTAGTGGAGAAACGGTCCCTTAAGGCCAATAATCTTAGGCGGCGATCTTCATGGTCTGTTGTTCTACGGCGGCGTCCAGTGCCCTTGCTCTTTGCGTACTGCCTTCTCGAAGCCATGCCTGACAACACCTAACCACAGTGTCTACACTTCTTTGCACTCTAACTGCAATTGCCCGAAAAGAAAGTCCAGCTTCCCGAAGTCCCACTATACGGCCCCTATCAAACTCTCTAAGTTGACGAAATCGTACAGGTCTCCGTACTCTAGGCATCGAAACAGATCGTAAAGGATGTCAAGAACCAAAATCCGCCAACGTTGATTCTTTACTGCGGCTGAAATATTCATTTTTAGAGCGTTAGTGAATTAAAAAAAAGCAGTATAAAAACCGGAATATCCAACTGATAAGGCTGAAAATTTTTTCACTTGTTATTTACAGTAAGATAAATACATTCACCAACTTTTATTAAAATAAAACCATTTAAACTGGGTGTTCGGATTTATATGTCACTTAGTATACATTTGCAAAAGAATCGTAGAAGAGGGTGCCGAGAATCTTTCTGCCAGAACAGTGCAAAGAAGCTTGGTAGATTTTGGGTTTTTTGGTAGGCGTCCAGTGCAAAAGCCTCTCATTTCAAAAAAGTGTATTGCACGGCATGAATTTGCTAAAACTTATCTAACTTGGACAGAACAACAATGGAATACAGTTTTACAGAGCTATGAAAGCAAATTTAACTTGTTTGGATCTGACGGTACGGCAGCATATGTGAGACATCCAATACAAAAAAGATTATCAGTTGTCAACAGTTAAGCACGGTGGAGGAAAACATCATGGTTTGGGGCTGTTTTTCTAGTTCTGGAAAGGGGCCAATTGTTTGGCTGAAGAAGGAATGCCTTTACGATGGACATTCCAGCAATATAATGACCCCAAGCATACCTCAAAATTCGTAAAGGACTGGTTAAGACTAAAAAATGTTAATGTTCTTATATGACCTTCGCAATCCCCGGACCTAAACCCTATCTAACATCTCTGGGAGCATGTTAAAAGACAACTGACAAGAAAAAATTTTAAAAATAGGAACGATTTATTTGATTAAGTAAAAAATATTTGGCAAAATATCCCAACAGACGTCTGTAAAAAATTGGTGTCTTCTATGAGGCTGTGTTGAATGCTAAAGGCTATGCTACCAAATACGTATTTTTTAAATCTTTTATGTTATAGTATTTAATTTTGTAATAAAAAATACGTTTCCATACTTTTGTCGTCTCATTTTTGGTCATCAAATAATATGAAGGTATTTTAATGCTAGTCTGTAGTACCAGAGCAAACACAAATTGTCATTTGTATCCTCAATACTGTAAGCAAACTATAAAAAACTAGTCCTTAATAATAAAGAATAAAAAATTAGCGCACCTTTGAAAAATTCCTAAGAATGATTCCAAACCTTTGTCCGCTACTGTATGTCGTAAAATTCGACAGTACATTTTATCAATATTCTTCCCAGCTTCAATCCTCTGGAACAAAGTCTAATGCCCGCTGGATCCACCTGTAGGCTGCTTAATTCGATATGGAGTTGAAAAAAATATTTCTATTTTTTCAGGCCTGGAAGCAGTTGGATTCATCCCAACCAAATACGCAAATCGATCCGATGATTGGCCAGATATGGAGTTCATGTTAACCTCCACTTCGACGCCCGCAGACGGAGGAGGGCAGATTTCGAAAGCACACGGACTCACACCGGAGTTTTACAAAGAGGTGTATGGAGATGTCAGTTTTAAAGATACGTTCGGAGTGTTTGCCATGATGTTGAGGCCGAAGAGTCGAGGAGAGATCAAACTAAGGTATGTATTAGGTTTTATTATTCAAAAAAATCTTCGAAGACAATAATAGAAGAATACTTCTGGGGTGGCAATGTTTGACAGTATATCAAAATAACGACATTTCTCAGTGTAGAAAATGGTACCGTTTTAATCATACAGAAAAGAATTGCAGGAATGGGAAGATATGTGCCAGCTGTGGCAACGGTCACGAAGGAGAAAATTGTAAGCCTGTATCAATAGAATGCTGCAACTGTAGATATGGAAATGAAAGATATAAAAAAAATTATAATATTAACCACTCACCTACCGACAAAAACTGCCCATCGTACAAATATTATCAGGAACAACAAAACTTAAGGATACTTTTTTAAAATTCAAGTTCATCTTTTGATACTCCTATCTCTAAAGAGGACCTAAAAATGTCAGTAAATAAATACATCAATGATTTCCAAATTCCAAATATTGCAACAAATATAGCACAAAACGTCGATGAACTTAATTTATGTACACAAAATTCTGATGCACAATTTCGAATTTTTAATATGAACATAAGGAGTATAAAACACAACATTGATTACTAAAAAATACTACTCGACCAAATATGGCACAATTTTGATCTAATAGTTTTAACTGAAACGTGGCAAGTGGTTGATATTTCTTGCTTCAATCAGCAGGGATATGACACTCTGTATAACTTTGGCACTTATAACCAAAACGATGGGGTGATAGTTTTTGTAAGAAATGAGCTACAATATAATCATGATATATTCACTTTCACCGATGGAATCAACATTTTAAACATAATGATCCAAATTAACCATAACAAAATTGAGGTATCTGCAATTTATCGTCCGCCATGTTCAGAACCCCACGAGTTTTTGAAGAATATCGAATTTTTTTTTTCAAAATCAAAATAAAGTTCATTTAAAGCAACATATTTTCTTGGGAGATGTCAATATAAATATTTTGGACAATGATCCCATCACAAATGAATACTTGAATATCCTATCAAGTAACGGATTTCTGTCCTATATAAACCTACCTACAAGGTCCATCAGTGGCACATGTATAGATCACTGCTTTGTGAAAGACCTATCCAACAAAATTACTTGTATACCAATAATCCTAGAAAGCGATATTACTGACCACTTCTCCACTATTTTACTGATATCTTCAAATGAAAAACATTCTAACATCCCTACCGTTAATAACAACCAGGAAAATTACAAATTTTTTGTCGACAATTCAAAACTAATATCAAATGTCAAACAAGAATCCTGGGAACAATTATACTCTATAAATAATATAGACAAAGCAATGGGACTGTTCATAGAGAAAATAAAAAAACTAATAGATATTAGTACCAATAAAGTAATAATTAGTCACAAAGAGAAAAGCAGAAATGCCTGGATTACCAAAGGATTAATAACATCGGCAATAGAAAAAGAAAGACTATATAATGTAATGAAACTAACGCCAACTACAGAGAATACCGACTGCTACAACCAATATAAAAATAAATTTATAGAGCTTGTAAGGCAAACCAAACGAAAACATTACCTAAATAAATTGAATAATAACTTAAATGATCCTAAGCGGCTTTGGACAACTATTGATGAGATTACTGGGAAAACAAAATTTAAAGAGTGTGTCACTGAGTTAAATACAACATCGCGAACAGTATTAAAAAATACTCAACAGATATGCGATGAATTTGTACAATTCTTTACTGACATAGGCGAAAATTTAGCAAGTAATATACAAGCAAATGTACAAAATGCTCAGCCTCCAAAAAGAACTTTGAACTCATTTATTTTGGATAAAGTCGAACAATGTGAAGTATACACCACTGTTATGTCCTTAAAAAATCGGTAAAGTCCTGGGTTCGATGGTATTAAAAGCGAGCATTTGAAAATTATAGCCGAGGACATAACAGAACCACTCACTTACCTAATCAACAAATGCTTTGAATCTGGCATATATCCCTCAATTTTAAAAAAAGCTAATATAATACCGATACATAAATCAGGAACAAAAACAGATGTTAACAACTATAGACCAATATCAATAATATCCAGTGTAGCAAAGGTTTTTGAAAAAGTTTTATCTACTAGAATGATTCGATACCTCACAAAATTCAAAATTTTAAGTGAAAATCAATATGGATTTACAGAAGGGAAGGCTACATCGGACGCAATAACTAAAATTGTAAATCAAATATATCAAAATATTGATAACAGAATCCCTTCAATCTGCATTTTTGTTGATTTAAAGGAAGCTTTCGACACAGTTAATCACAAATTATTATTAGAAGCATTGGAGAGAATTGGTTTCAGAGGAAACGCGTACTCACTGATCGAAAGTTATTTGTCAAATCGCCCACAATCTGTGCAGATATCAGGATCATTTAGTAAAGAAATGTATATTAAGTGTGGTGTCCCACAAGGAACTGTCTTCGGTCCGCTGTTATTCAATATATATTTAAATGATATTTTCCAAATTAATTGTGTTGGCAAAATAACTAGTTTTGCAGATGATACTGCAATATTATATGAAGGCACTGACTGGTCTGATCTGGAAAATGTAATTGAAAATAATTTTATCAAAATTATTCGGTGGTTTAACAGTAGAAAATTAAGCATTAACTACTCTAAAACACATTTTTTACCATTTGGATCTTATGCTAGACATCTGCCAAATTACACAAATTTCTCCTTCAATATTAATGATCAAAAAATGCAAATTAATAGAGTGCCCAACATAAAATACCTTGGAGTGGTCTTGGATCCTCACTTACGATGGGACATCCATGTCAATTATATTTTAAAGAAAGTTAGATTTGTATCCTACAAAATTAAATACCTTGGGAATATATTGACAGAAAAATATCTTCAAACATTATACCATGCACTGATTGAGCCTCATCTTACATATGGTATATTAGCATGGGGAGCTGCATGTTCCTCACATATCTATAATTTAGATGTTTTTCAAAAAAGTATTCTAAAAATGATATTTAAAAAACCGAAACTTTATCCCACTGAAAAATTATATGCAGATGTTCGAATGTATGATATAAGACAGCTTTATTTCTTACACAGTATCACTCACTACCATAAATTTGTAAACACCGACCAAAAAATTAAACATAATCATTATACCAGGTACAAAATTCGTGGCACAGTAGTTCCTCAACCGCATAAATCTATAATGCAGCGATCATATCTCTATTTAGCGCCTAAATTTTATGAAATTATACCTAAAGACTTAAAAGATTTACGTTTCGGAAATTGTTTCAAAAGAAATTTAAAAAAGTGGCTACATTCTATATCTAGGACTGAAATTCATAAACTCATAAATACGAACATCAACTAAATACATAATCTACTGTAGCTAATTTTTGTCCTTTTTTGTCATTTGCATTCTACAGTTTCAACTTAAATTATTGGTCCATGTACAGGCGATGCCTTCTATTGGGCCTGTTTTGATTTTATATTTATTTACTCATATTGTTTGTTATCTTTGTACATTGAGTGAATAAATATTAATATTATTATTATTACTGCGTGGGGCCAGGCTAGTGAAATCTCTAGAGTGTTTGTCTTACAAAAAAGAATCATTCGCATTATATTTAAAATACGGTCCAGATCTTCCTGTCGTGAGATATTTGTTAAACACAAAATACTTACAGTAGCATGTATATATCTTTATAATTTTTTAACATATATTTTTTAGCACAGAAGTGATTATCTCAAGCATACTGACATCCATGACTACAGCACTCGTAATAAAAATAATATAGTTAGGCATGTGTCATATCATACGTTTCATTCAAAATCTCCCATAACAGCAGGAATATACTTTTTTAATTTATTACCTCCGGAGATCAAAAACGTAAACTCCGTAGGGCTTTTCAAAAGACGCTTGCGGAACAAGCTATCGGACTGCGGTTTTTATGACCTAGGCGAATTTGTCACATTCCACAGTGCTTCTGATAGATCTTAACAAATAATTTATTGCCATGTGTGTATCATATGGTTTTGTATGTTCTTATTGTAATTTGTATTTTACTTCCTTTTATCTATATTTTAATCTGTATACACCGACTTATCCAATGTCTACAATGTAGATCTAACTGGATCAATATATGAATCTGAATCTGAATCTATACAGTGAGCCTGATAAGCAAAATGGCGATAAGTATATCAAAAATTGCAAAACAATTAAGGTGTTTCTATCCTCCTCAATGACACCCTTTTATTGTCGTCCTACAAGATATCCGTTCTGGCACTCAAATCTTCTCTCATGATGGAATGCTTTCTTACGCCCATACCATAAAATGAAGATCACCTTAGTAATGAGGTATTTAGCAGGTTGAAATACACGAAATTGTTCGACAGTGGAAGTAAGTGACTACAACATATTGTTACAAATAGTTCTGTTGGCGCCATCTGTCGGGCGAGTCTCCGAATCGCCAGAGCTTAATGGTCGATCTCTGCTTTTACGCGAACCACGACCGCACAAGCCGCTTGGCAGCGTCTGTGCAGCAATTGGGACTATATACAGGGTGTTTCAGTTTATTGTTGCATAACTTTAAGATTCGATATAACTTTTAAAATTAATGCATAAAGTCTATATAAACATGGGTCGATAAATGCGTGGCTTCCGAAATACAGGGTGTTTAAATTTACTTTTTAAAATAGTTTTTTTTTAAATAATTCGAACAATATTTGATGTATAACAGTGAAAATTGGTATACAAGGGTTTTTTGGTACGACAAACCGAACCATGGGCATAGTTTTACTGTAGCCGCTAGAGGGCGCTCTCTACTGTACCTGTAGTGTATTAAAATCATCGAAAATTTTTTCTTAGTGCAATTATTTCCTCTTTGAATAAAAAAACTGATTCTTCGCACTTTTCAACATAAAAAAGCTCTCTTGTGAATTTTCTTTATAGTTAGCCGTTTTTGAGATATTTCGATTTTTAAGGTTCGATGCATTTTTATTCATGAGAAAATAATA